GCATCTGGTGCGAGTACAGATTTACTCCGTAGCTTTCACAGAAAAAACTTACGCCCATATGGTATAAGTCTGTTGAGGTAACAGACTTTACTTTACTTTTATTTATATTTTTTAATTTTTGCCGTAAAAACTTATTTGCTAACGAAAAAAATCATCCACCCATTTCTTCGTAAATTTTTAAGGAATTGTTTTTTGTATGATAAAAAACTGTTGAATCGAATTATATATATATATATATATATATATATATAGTCTAATTTAACAAATTGATACACGACCGTAAACAAGTGCAAAAAAGAGTCACGTAAAAACAACAAAGCTGTGTATAGAGTATCACCTGATACACAGAATCTTAAGAGCGCCTCTAATGATTTGGCCAGGAACTGTATATTAACGTAGTAATCTGGAGAATGTTGCTTTGATGAATTAACGAAATATTTATTATGTCCAATTCGTTATTAATTTATTCAATGTTTTACTGTCTGATGCGCTAAGGAAAAACATTAATGTAGGGAATACCGAGCAATGGCATTAAAAAGAAACTGAGCAAAGTGCATTTACAGGCAAAATTCATTAATTCTAAAAAAGATTACCGATTATTGTTCCCAAAATTTCCTACACTCTCCTAATCTATACTAATCAAATAAATATTAAAATACCGGAAAAAATTAAATAAATAAATATCAAATCAGATGTTGCATACATTTTGAGAATTTACCAATTTTTAATAATTGACCGGTGAAAGTCGATCCTTTTCGGTATTTTCACAGTCAACAAATAATTCATTTGAAAACTGAAATATCTTGAAAATATAGAGCCCATTTGTAATTTTTTTACTTCATTGAAATAAAAAATAAACTGCAACATTTTATCTTTAGGTTCATTCAGAATGGAAGGGATAAAAAAACGAACCTACTAATATTTGTGAAATGTGTTGGATTCCTTTTAAAAAAATGTCGTAACGAAGGACTAAAATTAACATATTTCGCTGCTACTTCCAATAAAGGCATTCTTCTTTATAAACTCTCAAAAACAAGGTCTTGATTGTAATGAAATGACCTATTCTAAATATATATTCCTTAAATATTGATAAATTTCTTTACTATATATTCATCACATATCATCTATTCTATTAAAAACGATCCTTAAGTATGTTTTGACCTCAAAATGAGTCGAGAAAATCTGAATTATCTTAAGTCAAAAATTGAATTATCTTAAGTCAAAATTCTTGATGGTTCCATCAAAATATTTTGATGGTTTCAGTGCGATTCATGATGGTCCAACATCATTGGATGGTCTCCTTTGGATGGTCCGTTATGCGCTCATAGTTTTTGATATGCCAACAAATTTCCATCATTCTCTGATGTAAAATGCCACTTTAATTCCACGAAGGTTCACCATCAAGAAAAGTTTGATTCCCACAATCCATGATGATGGTTCCAATGGTAATTATTGCCGGTTCTCAAGAATATACCATCAAAACTATTTGACTTTTTTTTTAAATGTTAGACCATCAAAAATCAGTCCGAATTTTACATTGGGGCTCATGATCCTTCCAACATTCTATGAAACTATGATGGAAATTTCTGATGGTACACCACATCAAGTTGTTATTTTGGACCATCATAAAGCAGTCCGAATTCCTACTTTGGGGAGATGGTTACTTATGTAGGTTACCATCAAAAAGTGTAATTATGGATGGTTACCATCAAGATTATGTTGGACCCTCAGTGGAAAACCATCAAAAATGTTGACTCGCGATATAAACGGGAACATTGAATCAAATTAATATTTTATTCTATTGTCTTTTTTACAGTATTGGCCTGAAGTTGACGCAGGGCACAACTCTGTCTGTTTGTGGTATATGCTGCATCTTTTCAGCTGTCATCAATCATCAAATCATTCAAATGCATCCAAGAGGTAACTTTTATAACGAATCAAGGAAAACATACGTTTGATTTAAAACATGCCGTTTAATAGTACCTTCGGGAGATGAGTGCCATTTTAAGTATCAGCCATTCTCTGAATACATCTTTGAAAAGATTCATGATTTTCTTCTGCCAAAAATAAAATGATTCATATCTAATTTTTCTTGAGAAATTTTTTTTTCTGTAAAAAATAAAATATTAATGATTAGGATCCATCTTGTTTTTAAGAATTAAACAGCTTCAAATCTTCAAACTTCTACCAGCATAACTTTTTAATTTAAAAAAATAAACGACTCACCTAAACTTGTTAATTCTATATTTTATAATTTTATAGCCGTCGTTGAGCAGCCATTTTTTTGGGGTTTATGACTGCTAATGTTCAACTCCGTTACATTGTTATTTTGAACCCAATCTCGAAGACAAGGGAACTCCTAGATCAAGTATTAAAAGAAATTTGCGCTCATGGAGGATTTTTGATGGAACTAACCCGCATTTGCGTTACATGGTGAGGAAGACCACGAGAACCTCCACGGTCAGCCTGGCGGCAAGGGGACTCTAACTCATGATCCGTCTACCACTGAGGATACGTCACGTCAGCCCTGTGGTGGGTGCAAACCGGAATTCGTATCGACCCGCCATCGGTGGGATTCGAACCCAGTTCACCTCACTGGAAGGCTCTATCCCCTGTGCCGTTAACTCTTATTGAATCAATGTTGTCAAGAAATTTCAATTTATTTCAAATCGATCTGATATCATACGCGATTTAAAAATGAAACCCACTTATAAATCAAAAAATCTATTTAAATCATGGCCATACTTGCCTCACCACCAGACAAACACATATGGTTTGTTTATACTTCTAATGCGGATTAATAACAGAGCAGAAGTTAATATTAAAATGGGTAGAGAAAACAAATCAGTCTAATTTATTCCATGTGAACACCCTCTCTGAAATTAAAATATGCGGAACAAAAATTTACTTTTGAAAAAAGGTGTTATGATATGTCACAGAGGATTCGATTTGATTGAAATCTGTATACAGTCAATAGCAGTTAAAAATATTTTGACTACTCTTTGTTGCAGCGGTGGCAGATAGAGGATTGCACCATTTCGCCCCATTGTTTGGAATGCTTGGCAAATCTATAGCCAATGCATGTGGAATACTGCTATGGCTTCATGTTGTTAAGACCTTCCCTACCGGTGTCAGGTAATAAATTCTAATTTAATTTCAACATAGTTAAATAAAACTTTTAAATGTTTTTTTTTTAACATCAGTGGAAATATTGAGTGTCGGATATCATATCATACTGATCATAACAATATTATATATATATAATTTGTAATTTTCCTTTGTTTTATCTTCATTTTGATCTTATTTTATGAGTTCTATTTACTTGCAGCTTATGCGCAATAAATGAAACTTATTGTTTTTCTTAATTTTCTTCGCGCTTATTTAATATGTTATATATATACAGGGTGTCTCAGTTAAGCGCTTCAGAACTTCTAAGAGGGGTAGGGGGCATCCTGACGACTCGAAATCATATAGCAATGTGGGGTCGGAAATGCTTTCCTGAAGCGGTGACGTACACAAAAGCAATTTAAAGAAAAGAGACCGTAAGTGAAAAATCACTATAATAATACATTGAAAAAATTATATGGTACATGGGCCAAAGTAAGTGTTCGAAGTTTCTGCCACCGGCTACAATGTACACCTCACATCTCCGGCGCCTGGACATTCGAACATTCTGCAATACTCCAGGCATATCTCGCAGGCAGCTACTGCGATTCTTGCAAGCAGCATTATCAACAGGGGTGTCATAAACCAGTGTTTTCATATGACTCCAGAAATCAAGACATGATAGGTCGGGTGACCGATATATTTTTTATATCGGTCGGTATATTCGGGCCACATAATTTTTTCGATGTATTATTATAGCGATTTTTCACTTACGGTCTCTTTTCTTTATGGTGCTTCTGTGTTCGTCACCGCTTCAGAAAAGCAATTACGACCCCACATTGCTATATAATTCCGAGTCGTCAGGATGCCCCCTACCCCTCTTAGAAGTTCTGAAACGCTTAACTGAGACANTATAATAATATTGTCGGAGGATATAATATGAAGTGTCATTTAAGCAACAAACAGATTTTAGAAATGGGTGGGTTCTCCAACTTGTTTTCGAAGACGATTGTTCCCCCCCCACCGTCTCCAACGCTTCCCTTTAAACAATTTACTGTTACATTGAATACCCAAGTTAATTTTTTAATGGTTTTCCATTGATGGACCAACTTAATCTTGATGGTAACCATAAACATCATGAACCATTATATTTTTTGATGGTAACCAACATAAGTGACCCCAAAGTAGGAATTCGGGCTGATTTATGATGGTCCAACATAAGAATAACAACTTGGTTTTGATGGTTTGCTCATGTTAAATCATCAGAAATTCTTAGAAATCCAATGTTGGAACGATCATGAACAACCATCACCCCAATGTAGGAATTCGAACTGATTTATAATGGGCCAATGTAAAAAAAACAAATTGTTTTGATGGTATATTCCTGAGAACCAACAAGAATTAAACCATCATGGAAATGTATAGTTGGAACCATCATGGATTATTGGTCCATGAGAATCAAACTGCTCTTGATGGTTAACCATCATAGTATTGAAGAAGCATTTTTCATGATGGAATGATGGAAGTTTTCTGGCATATAAAAAACCATGAATGAAAAATGTTAGATGATGGGAACCATCGTGTATCACACTGAAACCAACTTAAACCATCAAAAATTTTGTCCTGGCTAGGGTCTTAACTAAGAAAGTTTCATATCAAAATTTAATTTAAGTCACAAGGCTTATACACCGAAGAGCCATTACATTATGAACACCCTCCATCTATAACAATGGGTTCGCCCAGGTTTTCATGGTTTCTCGCCCAGAAACAATGTTTTCATGGGGCACATTAAGACCCATAATCCTCATAGAACAATCCCTGACGTCTGTAAGCTACCTGAACATAGTTGCAGACCAGGTTCACCCATTCATGGGAGCAGTTTTTCCTGCGGGGGATGGTGTTTACCAACAGGATAATGCACCATGTCATAAGAGTCGAATCGTCATGGATTGGTTCGAAGAACATTCCAGTGACTTTCAAGTCATGTCTTGGCCCCCAAATTTACCTGACCTTAATCCAATAGAGCATTTGTGGTCTTACTTGGAAAACAAAATTCGTGCTGCCACGCTACCCCCTCGCAATGTGAGGGAATTGCAGGACTAGTTGGTGAGCTCTTGGTACCAGATACCTCACCTTGTAGAATCAATGCCACGGTGGGTGCTAGCAGTTTTGAGGGCTAAAGGTGGTCCTACATGTTGTTAGCAGGGTGATTATAATGTAATAGCTCTTCGGTGTATATTTTATAGAAATGTCTTGTTGAAAAAATATAATGAATGTAGGGAACTTAAATACTAAAGCATAATTTTTGAAGCTTTAAATCCGTTTTGATACGGAAACTCCATAGCATAATAAAGCCCTTGTGGTGATGTTAAGTGCTTAAAAAAAATTGTCATTTCACTAAGAAAAATCTTAAGTAAAAAGTTCGCAACTTCTTTAATTTTAATGAAGCAATAATATGAATTCTATTTGGTTTCTAGTGTCAACTATTACTTAAGTCTAAAAAAATACAATTCTATGATTAAAAATCCAAATAGGTGTAATCGACAATGTCAACCTTCATCTATGAAAACATACCACACCATAGAATCGAGTTAACATACTTAGTGAATTCGAATTGTATTTTTGTAGTGGTATAGACACAATACAGTACTCCTCCACCAGAATTCAATCTGTGATAGAATTCGGTAAACGGATACCACTAGTTGATCCATTGTTGTGTTGTGAGAAGCCGGAAGAGCTGTATTAAGATCACCGTACTTTTTGAGTGCTGGACGTGAGAGCTGTATTAAGTATGAAGCACGGTCGTGGTCACTCCTGTGTTGCCTTTTTGCAGTCGAGTGTATACGTTGTACTTTGTGTGTGATCGAAACTGAGAAGCAACAGCGTGAGGATGTCACAAGTAGGAAGTCAACTATTCATCTAAGTAAGCGTGTTCAAATCATAATGGGTGTTTCTGTCAAGGCAGGGTTGTTCACAGCACGTCCAAAGGAGACATGTGGGGACAGTGTCAACCGTCATCTATGAAAAGGTACCCCACCATGCCTTATATGCTTAGAATTATATTTTTGTCGTGGTAGACACACTTCAGTTGCTAATATTATAGTTCCTAATATCTAACTTTGTCAGAGATTATAAAAAAAAAAAAAACCCGGACTATGAAGCTTGAATTTTGTATAATTTTTTATTTTTTTTTCAAATACCACATTTGTCTTTTTATTAGGGGATTAGGCTTAGGATCTTGTATGTTATGCAGCAAAATAGCATCTCTTTTTGTTCCTCATCTCTCAGAAATGGTAAGTTCAAACAAATTGTTTAACTTATTAATTGACGTTACTTTTGAGAGAGTGGCACGATGAACGACATCGTTTTGTTGCTTGATTCTTTTAGTTAAAAATATCTACTTTATGAAGAAGAGATGTTTAAATGCTGTGATTGTACCATTCGTTAGTATGTATATCTAAGCTAATCTCTTCTGCAACCATTTTTAAAACCTGTAGCGGCATATTCGGCAACTTATAATGTCCTGTCGGGGATGCCCATATTTATTTAGCGTACTATCAGAAAACAATTGCTGACTTATTACACATAAAAAAAAAAGTGCGCTATCTAAAAAAGTACGCTAAGTCCAAAAAGCTTCGAAATATTTCTTAGTCAAAAAAACCTCAAAATATTACAAAGTTCAAAAACCTTCTGAATTTTTCTATGTACATTCAGTCTAAAAATATTTCAAAGACCAAAAAGCTTCAAAATATTTCTAAGTAAAAAAAACATCAAAATATTTCAAAGTTCAATAATCTTCTGAATTTTTCAAAGTTCAAGCACTTCAACATTTCCTAAGTACAAGCACCTTCAATATATTTCTAAGTGCGAAAACCTTCTGAATTTTTCTACGTACATTCAGTCTGAAAAAATTTCAAAGCCCAAAAAACATCAGCATATTTCAAAGTACAAACACCTTCTGATTTTTTTCAAAGTTCGATCACCTCCGATTTCTCAGAGTACTAGGAACTTCAAATTATTTCTGATTGCAAACACTTTCTGAATTTTTCAAAGTTCAATCGCCTCCAATTTTTGCATGTACTAGCAACTTCAAAACATTTCTAAGTGCGAAAACCTTCTGAATTTTTCTACGTATATTCAGTCTGAAAAAATTTCAAAGCCCAAAAAACATCAGCATATTTCAAAGTACAAACACCTTCTGATTTTTTTCAAAGTTCGATCACCTCCGATTTCTCAGAGTACTAGCAACTTCAAATTATTTCTGATTGCAAACACTTTCTGAATTCTTCAAAGTTCAATCGCCTCCAATTTTTGCATGTACTAGCAACTTCAAAACATATCTATGTGCAAATGCCTTCTGAATTTTTCTAAGTACATTCAGTCTGAAAATATTTCTAATTTAAACTTGAAATATTTTTAAAGTTGAAATAGCTTCAAAAACTTACGAGGTACCAACACCACACATTTAATGAACACGTTTCGCGTAGACACACCGGCTCTTTTATAACCACCAGATTCGAACTCGCCACCTGGAGATCTCCAACCAAGTCTCACGTCTTAACCGACTGCGCTACCGAAGCGGCAGAAGTTTTGAGAGTGTAGTGCATCACTCCTGTTTTTAAATATATTTAAGAAAAATTGCACTCTATTTCAAACTGACCTCAATTAACATTTGACTAAAGGTTAAAGAGGAACATTGTTGAAGCTTAAATATCCATATAGTTTAAAATCGTTAGAAATGATCCAAAAACAAGGAAGTTGGGTTCCAGACGAATTGAAATCAAGAGAACGTCGATTTCGCATGAAAACTGATTTTGCTATTTTTTTAATGCATTTTTTTTATAACCGTCGTTGAACAGTCGACCCAATTTTATGGACTACTCAACTTTAACTCCGTAGCCTTGTCATTTTGAACCTAATCCAGAAGACAAGGAAACTCCTGGATGGAGCACTGGAACAAATATGCCTTCGTGGAGGACTTTTTGGTGGAACTAACCCACATTTGCATTACATGGAGAGGAAGAGCACGAGAACTTCCCACGGTTAACCTGACGGTACAGGGACCCATGATCCGTCACCCACGGAGGATATTTTTCGTCAGCACAGTGGTAGGTGCACGCCGGATGCGGAATTCGTATCGACTGGGATTCGAACCAGGTTCGCCGCATTGAAAGGCAAATGCTCTATCCGCTGAGCCATCGCGGCTCTGGTTTTGCTATTTAGAAACACTTCAATGGAAAGTCTTACAACACCCGCTGTATTCGCCAGATCTTGCCCCTTCAGATTATCACCTATTCCGGTCGATGGCACGTGGTCTGTCTGAGCAGAATTTGACATCATTTGAGGAAACCAAGGAATGATTTGTGGATATACCTTGAAAGACGACGTGGCTACTAGAAAGATGGGAAAAAGTTGTGTTTAGTTATACTTTGAATCAACGATAATGTACTCATTTTTCACAATAAATTGCTAATTTTTGATAGAAAACGGATTATTTGCACTCGCAATATATTTATATTGAAGATTAATAGCTCGAATTAAAAATAATTCCAATAGCAAATTTTCTTTTTTTAAAAAAAATATATGTAAAATGTAACGCGTATTAAAAAACTAAACTTATAAATATTCACCCGTAAATGTTGGAGTTATGACTGTTGGAAATAAATTGGTTCTTTTCACAAGAATCCCTGGGTTCTAAATATAGTCACTGGGTCCTCAATGAGTCCAAGTAATAATGATCATTGTCTACGGTAAGAACTCCCCTCGCCACGAAGTCTGTTACTATGGAAACAAGAGTAGCGTGCTTCAGGTAGAGTAGATTCTCTTTAACGCGATACTAGACTAACACGATAGGCGAAGAAAAAGATTCCTTTTGTTTCACCGACTCGAACCAAAACCTGTTCAAACCATTGACCCCTACTTGAAATAGTTATACTTCGTTACCATAGTCACTGCCACGTCTCCAGACGAAAGGCTAAGGGAGTCATTACTTTCGACAAACTATACTCAGTTTCCAAAGAAGCAGAGAAAAAAAGCAATATTGGTTTTCTATACAGTATATCTTCGAATTAAACTGAAAATAGGGAAAAAAAATTCTTATGATTTATAACTAAAACCTTTTTCACCTATATACAATTCGATTATAATTCATCCAACATACATTATAATTTTTTCAGCTTCTGTAATGTCTTGTAGCTAAATATCATTTAAAATTCGAAAATTTTCGTATGTATAAAACTGTATATATATATATTGACCAACACTAACATTGACCCATATCATAACTGGACCACGAATTATGTTTGTTGAGAAATCCCGGATCTGAAGCTTGTAATACTTCCTTGTGTAATCACCATATATGGCAGTACTTTTACTTTCGTTACTTGTACCGCCGGTACAAGTAAAAAGTACGTACTTTTACTTGTACTTCGTTACTTTTTAAATTTAGTACTTTTACTTGTACTTTCGTTACTTTTTTAGGGAAAAAGTANTTACACCCACTATCTCTTGCGTCGGTACGCAAACACACACTGCCTTAATCGGTTCTTGAACCAATTATCAATTGATCAATTTTTATAGGTCAATCTCTATTGAGTTTTGATTCGAACAAACTATCTTTACATCGGTACTCGATCTGTGCTTGTACCCACTATCTTTTAATCACTTTTTATAATCCGCGCCCTTTTGTTACAAACTAGAACCCACTATCCTTTAATCATTGCTTGAACCCACTAACATTTGATCAATTTTTGTAATCCACTATCTTTTTTTAAAACTAGAACCCCACTATCCTTATATCGGTACTCGAATCCACTCTCCTTTAATCAGTGCTTCTACCTACCATAATTTAATCAATTTTCATTATACCCTCTATTTTGTTTAAAACTTGAACCCACTGTCTTTAAATTGGTTTTTGAACCCACTATCCTTTAAACGGTGCATAAACACACTATCATTTGATCACCGAAGTCAAGCATCACTGGCTGTGGACAGTGTGCGGGTGGGTGACCACTTGGATCAGTCTGTGTAGGGACCGAGGGTGTGCGGTATTGGTCCTCGTTAAATTGTTCTACCGTAAAGTGCTCGACTTCGCGTGCAGGTCGTCGGGCTACCGAAGTGGAGGTGCCATCCCCTCTGCAGAGGATCAAAATTGTGATGGCATGTCTTCGGATCATCCACAGGGATGTTTCCCAGACCGTCGCCAATAGCCCATTGTGCAGCTCTAGTGCGACGTAAATTAACAACAACAACAATAATACACTTTCTTTTTTTTTTGAAATTTAAACCCAGAATCTTTACACGAGGACTCGAACCCACAATAATTTAATCAATTTTTATTATTCCTTCTCTTTTGCTTAAAACTTGAACACAGTATCTTTACAACTGTATTCGAACCCACTCACCCACTTATTTGAACCCCTTATGATTTGATCAATTTTTATAATCCGATCTCTATTGTTTTAAACTTGAACCCACCACTTTGACATCAGTACTTGAACCCTTTCTCCTTTCATTGTAGCTTGGACTCACTATCATTTGGTCAATTTTCAGACTCCACTCTCTTTTGTGTAGAACTTGTACCTCTATCCTAACATCGATACTCGAGCCCACTATCCTTTAATCGGTCCTTGAACCCACTATCATTCAATCAATAAATTTAATCCTCTCTCTTTTGCTTAAAACCTTTACCCACTCTCTTTAAATCGGTACTCGAACCCACTCGCCTTAATTCGGTGCTTTAATCCACTATCATTTGATCAATTTTTATAATCCACTCTTTTTTGCTTAAAACTTGAACCCACTATCTTAAATTTTGTAATCGAACCCACTATCCTTTAATTGGTCCATGAACACATTACCACTATATTAATTTTTATGATACACTTTCTTCTTTTAAACTTAAACCCAGAACTTCACATCAGTACTCGAACCCACTATAATTTAATCGGTATTTGAACTCACAATTGTTTAATTAATTTTTATTATCCACTCTATTTTGTTTAAAACTTGAACCAACGATTTTTAAATCGGTTTTTAAGCACACGATCTTTTATTCGGTGCCTGAACCCACTATCATTTGATCGATTTTTACAATCCATTTTCTTTTGCTTAAAACTTGAACCCAGTATCTTTACATCAGTACGCGAACCCACTATCTTTACATTGGTATGCGGACAAACTATCTTTAAGTATGCAATCGAAGCCACTGTAATTTAATCTGTGCGTGAACCTACAATCATTTTATCAATTTTTGTAATCGACTCTCTTTTGTTTAAACTTGAACCCACTATGCTAACTTCGGTACTCGAACCCACTATCCTTTAATCGGTCCTTGAACCCACTATAATTTGACGATTTTTTATAATCCACTCTCTTTTGCTTAAAACTTGAACCCAGTATCTTTACATCGGTAGTCACTCTCCTTTAATCGATGCTCTAACCCACAAGGTGTTACCATAAAACTGAATAATTTAAAATCAACGGTAATTGGAAAAAAAATTTCAAATTTTGTACTGAAAATCAAACTTAATGGAGAAATCGTAATAATTCGCTAAGAAGAAAAGTAAAAAATTCCAATATTGTTATTGATTTCAAAGATAAAAGGAAAGAAAGAAAAAGAATAATTAGTACAGTGTTTAAAAAGTTTTCCTTTTTGAGAATATACATTATGCTATACATTTGTTAAAATTAAACATGTAATTAACAATAAAAATATATATAAATGCATATTTAAATCTGTTAACACTCTGAAAGAAACGAAACGCATTCTTGAAAATAGTTATTTTATTTTATATCCGTCGTTGAACAGCCTAACCAGTTTTGTAAGACCGATGTATGTCGGCTAAAAAAAGTTTGTTCATCTTCTGAGAAGGATTTTAATTCAAAATGTTAGTAAAGTAAATCCCCCTAAAAATGAAATAATGTTTTTGAACAATGTCAAACAAATTGAGTTGATTGAAGGCATTCATTACAGGAATCACATTTTCCGTTTATTCGTGGGAAATCGAACGGTATTCAATTCCCAGAACATAACTTTATAGTTTGTCTAAAGTAAGAACTCCCCTAGACATTCGTCTGGAGCCGTGGCGGTGAGTATGATAACGATGCATTATTATTTCAATTAGGGGTGTGAGGTCACTGTGTAGGCTCGGCTCGGCGAGCGTTCTTCGGTCTTAGCCCTAGAGTGGTAGGTAGGTACTTTATTTGCGTCGCACTAGATCTGCCCAATGGGCTATTGGCGACGGTCTGGGAAACATCCCTGAGGATGATCCGAAGACATGCCATCATAATTTAGATCCTCTGCAGAGGAGAGGGGATGGCTCCTCTGCTTTAGTAGCCCGACGACCTGCGGGTGAAGTCGGGCACTTTACGGCAGAACAGTTTAACGAGGACCGATGCCGTGCACCCTTGGACCCTACGCAGGGTTATCAAAAGGTGACCCACCTGCTTACTGACAGCAGCCAGTGATGCTTGACTTCGGTGTTCTACTTGGGTACCGTGTCTTTACGATTAGTCCAAGGCGGGACTAGTCCTAGACCTAGAGTGAAGAGAAGCTACTGTCCCTGAAATGTGCTCTTCTTGTTTCCACAGCAAAAGATCGCCTCAGACTTAGTTGCAGGGGGAGTTCTTACCGTAGAGAAACTATACATACTTTTTAAATGTAAATAGGAAATGCAACTACCCTGGCAGCAAAATAACTTGGGCCAATATTCATGAATCTTGGCTCAATAAGGGTTCAAAGGGCCTTTATTTTCCGATATAGAATCGCCCGATATTTTACAACCAATATTAGTCCCATATGGAATTGTCAGATTCACACACCCGATGTTTTATATCCATTATTTAGCCAATGTAGGTTCTAAATTTGCCAGCCATTCTAGGACCAATATTGGTCACGCGGTGCGCTTGTTCTTATAGGACTTAAATTGAGCCAATTTTGAACCCAACCTTGGGCCAAGGTAAAATTGTTGCTAGGATAACCTTATTTTAATGAATATATTTAAATATCATGAAATGTTGCATTATATGATTGAACAACATTTTTGTCTTTCAGAAAACGCACTCCCAGTTCATTGTTTTGGCCTTCAGCGGTGCCCTGTGCATAGCAGGGGGTCTTCTCACCTACACACTGCTTCCCGATTGCACGAATCGTCCTCTAGCCACCATCGCCGAAGAAGTCGAGATCGGCAGGACGAAGATCATCAACGACAGCGATTTACAGGATGAGGAGGAGGCAGGATGCGTGTTGGCCATCCAAGACGAAACCATCTGCAGGCGGATTTCCAATTTATTCTACAAAAAGCCCCCCTTCTTGCCGAAGACCCTCGATGATGAGGGCAGGGGAGACATTTTCGAACCCGTCACCGGTTTCATTTTTAAATGGGACGCAGACTGTCCAGTCAAGATCAATGACTTAGAAAAGAAACATTCCGCTTTCTGGAACAATAATGAAACATTCGAAAAGAAAATGAACAACACGTTAAATATGTTGTATAATATAAGTGAGGATAATGTTGAATTCCAGAATAATACGCCCAGTGATTCATCTCTTTAGTCTGATCATGAATTGGAGAAGAAGGAAAAAAAAACAGTTTTTTTTTTCATTTCTATTTAATCTACCAACAGTGTAAATTGGAATCATTTTACAGAATCCTTTCTCCAAGAGTTGAAACTCTTATGTTGACATGATTCTTTTTTTTAATAAAATTTATCTTTTTCTTAGTAACCACAAACTATTTTGAGTTGATCAGGGTGCGTAGCCAAATCTTTGAATCCAAAATAAGCACTTTTTAAAAAATTTTCAAGCACTCAAAATATTCATATCGAATCAATTGAAAAACAAAAACTTTTTATGAACAGTTTTAGCCTTAAAAAAACCCCAAAAGGAAACGGACGTAAATCGAAACAATCAGTACTTTCCCACATCACAGAGTGAATTCAACTTAACTCTGAACAAAAGTACCCTTACCCCCAATATCAAAAAAGTGTTAAAAGTAAAATAAAATAAACAAGAATAAAATTAAAATAAATTAAAAAGAAAAACATTTAAAAAGGATCTGACTATCCGAATTGGAGCACTCAGGTTTCAGTTTCGAGTGTGCGCGCATGCGCAAGTCATAACGTGGGTACGACATGAAGTCCGTGTGAATGATTACGTAGCAAACACCCCATTTTTCGTGAAATGCAGGGGATCCGCCAGATATCACTGAAGGAAAAAAAAAGTATTCGTGAAAAAAAGCACTTTTTAAAAACGCCAGCTTAAAAAAGCACCTTTAAAAGCTTTTAAAAATGAAATCCCTCAAAAAGCACCTTTAAGTACTTTTTACAAACGCTACGCACCCTGTTGATTTTCAAAATTCCATTCAGTGATTGTTTTGATATAAAGCTAAAAATACTGCACGATTATTTAAGCGAATTTAAGAAGACGCCATAACACGAAAGAAAACTTTCATCGCAAATTCTCTTAATCCTTCATTTAATTATTAAACGAAAGAAAAATTTCAATGGCTGAAAAAAGAATACTTCAAAATAATAGAATGCAAACAAATCATCAGAAGAGAACTTCTTAGTTGTGTCATCCTAAGTTGACATCTCATCATTTGCATATTTTAAAATGTTCTTTTCAGTATTTGAAACTTCCATGGCTTACTCTAGGTTTGTCTGAACTCACTTTAAATAAAGGAGAATTTGGGAGACTTAATTTTCTTTCACGGTATGGCGTCCTCTTAAGAAAGGGAATAATGAGTCAAAATGCATACACAAAATAAAATTGCTGTTTAAATACTTTTGACATTAGCGCTGTTGTATTGCATATATTAATTTCTAAGTTCATATTGAATAGAGGCCAGTTTTGTTTAGCTTCAAAAACTTAATTAAAGTTTATATTATCTTATTCTCCAAAACTCAAATTTTTTTTCAAAATCTTGCTGTTGTTACTTTACGTCGCACTAGAGCTGCACAATGGGCTATTGGCGACTCTACTCTACTTTTATCATAACTTAACAAAAACATGAAAAAAAAAATCTTATATTAAAAATCAAAACAGAAATCACAAAAAAATAGTTTGTCCAAAGTAAGAACTCCCCTAGTCGTTCGTCTGAACCCCTGACGGAGACTATGGTAACGAGGCATAACTATTTTAAGTAGGTTTTGGCTCATGTCGGCGAGAAAGGGAATCTATCTTCACTCTACTGTGAAGAGATCGACCCTCCCTGAAATGCGCTATTCATGTTTCCATAGCAGCAGACTGCCTCAGACATAGTGGCGGGTGTTCTTACCATAGACAAACTATATTTACTCAAATGCTCATTTTAATAGACACTATTGTGACCGAAATGACTGGTAATAAGGAATAATTATTTGATCATCCATATTAGATTGTCCAAAAATTAACTGAAATAGGCATTTTGCTCCTGAAAAGAAATTATCACTCTCAGATGAAAACAAAACTTAACTTTTCTTTATGTGCACACAGCAAAAGACGTTGTTCTAAAGTTGCATTAATTTTTATGTCACCTTGGCGATGATTTCAATCTCCACTGACACAACGTAATTAAAATATTAGTGGCATAATTCACATTAAAAATAAAAATTCACCTAGTTGCTCTTACAGATCCAAGTATAATAAGTTGCTTTCAAAAATCTCTTTTATAGGATTAAAAGAGAAGATCAAAGCACACTCGATTATTTCAGACGCTTGTAAATTTTTATTCAATAAACTTAATTCCTGCAGCTCTAGTACATAATGCAAATAAAGTAAGCAATTTGTGATTAAGGGACTGTTCTTACTGTGTGCTAAGGGGGAAGAACACGATTGGTGAAACAGATTTAAAACAATCCAATCAGGTTCGTCTCCGAATTAGCATGCAAAAGAATGGCACTTCAACTGTGAAAGTAACGCTGCCCTATGTATTTGAATTTCAAAAACAAAAAAAAAGAACTTTCATGGGGCATAAGCACACCTTCTATTGTTTCGTTACATATCGGCTACATTTTAGATTTTCAAATTCATGACTCATTCCAAGAATGACTTAACGAAGTTGCTATTTTCTCCCACAAAAACGCAACCATAAATTTAAATAAGCATCATAATAACATTCATTGAAATGATAGGTATAACTGTTATACTCTTCATATTTATAGATTTTAAATTAAAAAAAAAAGGAGTAAAGAAAGAGTTGAAGGAATAAAATGGCTAAAAAAAATACAAAAGCAAATAATTTTTTTCTGCAGAATTACATTCTAAAGATACTTTTCTTGTTCATCAGAATGGGAAAAAATACTCCAGATTTTTCTGTTCTCATTCCGGAATAAAAAAAATTCACCAATGACTGACTTGTTTCAGCTAGAATTTTAAATTGATAAAATAAAAAATAATAATAAAAATTCTGAAAATCCAGAAGTTTAAAAGATAATTTGCTCTAGAAATGATATTTTTTTTCTTTCATTCTTTAAAAGAACATAATTTTTAAAGTAAAGAAAACGAAAAAAACGTTTTATATTTTAATCAAATAGGACTGTGAGTGGGGATTTTGTTACAAATTCAGATATTCCGAACACCATGAAATGGGGAGAGATAAAATTAGTAAATCCATGACTTTTCATGATTTTTTTTTTTAAATAGTTAAACTCATGACAAATTTTGTTCAATACTGAAATCCAAAACTTTCCAGGTGCGCAGATACGTATGTGAATTTTAAGACTAATATGAGTTATGAAATAAAAGAAAAAACTGCAAGCAAGCGTTTATTGATGCTAATTAATCAAAGACAAGGAAATAAAAACATATTTGAATACAATCAGATCTATGGTTCTACGTATTTGGATACAATCAGATCTCATTTAAAGACACATATAATTTAAAATTTTCTCACAAAACTCCATATAAAATAACCTTTATACAAAGAACTGCTAATTGAATGTACTGTCCAAGTTCAAATATTAACATACATATAAAATTATGATTTTTTATGCATTTTGCAAACGTTCATATCTTTAAATATGAACATTATATCATTTTTATAAATTTCTAATGAAAGATAATTATTTTTTTAAATATAGATGCATATAAAAGAAAGTAATTAAAAAAGTGTTGAGGATCAAATTCAGTAATTACAAATTACACATTTTGATAAGTTTTTACAGTGTTAAGTCCTTTTAAAACTTAAAAGTGTCCTTTTCTGAGAGGCAGCGCCCTTTTTAATTCTAGGGAGAACTCTGCATAGATACTTGTTGCATAATTGCACACCATATCATTTACATTGATAAAAATGAGATTTCATACTTATTATTGATTGGAAAACTCATTCCTTTCAGATCAAAACTGCACATCTAATTTTTTTTACAATTTATTTCAATTGCAGTTGCATTATAAATTTGACATATTGGATACAAAATGCAGTGATATTGTTCATTTATTGTGCAATATCAAGATATTTTCTTTTATATTATAAGATTAAGTGATTTTCGTCAATAACCAACAAAAAATAAGCACCTTTTAAGAACTCAAAAAATATGTTTAATCTTTTTCCAATTTTCTTTTTTTAATTAGAATATGTGCAGTATTAAAAATTATTTGCTATCATTAAAAGTTAACATAAAATCAACAAAAAACAAAAACATTTTCAAAAACTTTACGCAATAATTATAAAATAACCAGTTTTTGATAAATATTGCAGAGAAAATTGTGAAAATCATGATTTTCTTTTTTTGCAATTTATGACGATAATCGACACGGAAAAGAAAAAAATCTCTGAATCGAAAAGAAAAAATCTCTTCTTCCAAAGATAGAAAATTAAGCACATTTTAAAAACACTTCACACCCTGCTAAAATAAGGTAACAATCATGTGATTCTAAGTTTAACAGTTCAATAACAATAATTCAATTTTGTATCTTAATAAAATCAGAGGAACAATTAATAATTGAAAGAAAAAAACAAAAAATTCATTCAAAAGTAAACCAGATCTTTGAGAAAAAAAGCAACACATAAAAATTAAGTGAATAAAAACATGCTTTAATTAAAGACTGGTACAAACGAAAACACGACGGATTGTTTAGAGCCCAGTGGTATGTTATTTAAAGAAACTTTTGGATGTTCGCCATCCGCTAGCAATCCATCCGTTATAGCGGTGCTTTTTATTTCGACACGCGCCATCTCCGGGAGGTGCTTGGATTTTCCACTGAAGTTTATGACAGTAGAGTTTGAACCCAGGTTGATGGCCACTAAATAGCCGGGTGAACCTTTTCGAACCCTCATCATAGAGAAGATTTCTTCAGTGACCAGAGGGTATTCTTCATCTCCAAAACTGAGGGCAGGTTGTCCTCGCAGAGAAAGCAATTTTTGTAATACTTTTAAATGGGATTGCTTGCTGTTTTCTTGACTCTGAAAAAAAAAATTATTTGTTAAAAATAACATTACAATCTATTTTTAGAAATTTTACACAAGAGATTTAAAACAAAACAAAACCAGATATGAAGTTTATGTTTTAAAAGGCTAAGGATAATCCATTTTTTCACAACTCACAAAAGAAAGTAACCAATTTGATAAATGTACAGGATGCATAGCTAAATCTTTCAACAAAAAATAAGCATCTTTTAAGTACTTTTTAAGCACTATATACAACAACAAAATGCAAAATAATTTTCAAAGAATTGACATGATCATTGATAAAATAACTGGTTTCTGACAAAGAACTCTTTTCATTACATTAGCCACCATGAAATAATTAAAACTTTCTCGGCTCAATTTGAAAGGGTGGAAAATGAAGCTTGAAATTGGGAATATCTTTCAAAATGCAGCAGAATTGCATATGAGAGTGCTAAAATCTCACAGAACCCATCTCACAAATATTTTATCAAACATGTAAAATGATTGGCGCTCGCATAAGCTACGAGCCAAGGGTACTCCGAAATGGATTGTGGTTGATTAAGTTGGGAAAACGTTGAATAGAATGTTAAAAAACACACTTTTGCATAATAAGTGGAGAAAATAGACATACAGTACAGAACCCGTTATCCGGAAATCAGAAAACCCGAAAACCAAAAAACCGGAACGAAATTCGATAAATTTTCCCGCAATTTAAAAAAATTTTTTTTTTTTTACACATAAGATTTTAGGATTTTTTCTTTCTTTTTTGAAAGATGTTTACCTTACCATCATTTCGGAAATAATCATTAGTGTATTACCTCATCGTTTTTTCTTATTTTTAAGATTATTTCCAANTTTTTTTTTTTTTTAGTTGGGTTTAACACTAAAAAAACGTCTTTTTCTAGCGATTCAGAAAACCGGAAAAATCAGTTATCCGGAATAGCAATAGTACCGATCGTTCCGGGTAATCGGTTCTCTACTGTAGTAAAAAAAAAAAACTAATTTTTCGAAAAGGGAATATTAAGCACTTCTTACAGGGATGAGAGCAGTCAGAAAGTAAAAAAGAGGAAATCCAAGATTGAATGAATAATTTTATATATATATATACACACACAAATTTGACAAAAAAAGAGAGCGATTTTTAAACTTGTAAACCATGTGATTATAAATCCCGATAATTAATTTTATAATTGTATGAATATGAATCACATGCATGATTTTAAATTGAGAGAATATGAATCCCGATATGAGGATTTTAAATCACGTGAATATGAAACTCTATATCGAATTTAAAAAATGCGAAAATACAAATCATGATTCGTAATTTTTAGATCTCGTAAATACGAATCACGATGCATAACTTTTAAGGCACGTATAAATAAAATCAATGTTTGATATTACAACCGCAAAAACGAATCACGACATTGGATTTTAAGCTCGCGTGAATACGAATCGCTACATAAGGTTTTAAAAGCGCGTAAATACAAATAGCGATATTGGATTTTTAAATCTCGTAAATAAGAATCATAATGTACGATATTTAAATAGCGTAAATAAGAATCAAAATGCGCAACTTTGAAATCAGGTAAATACGAAAATCGATGATTTATATTAGAATCTCATGAATATGAATCGAGATATTTGCAGAGTCTGGATTTGGGATTTCTAAAAGGCTTGTTTGTAATGTTTAGACATAATAAATAAAAATTTACAAGATTAATTATATGAGCAAATATTTTCATCGCAATTCCACCTAAATTTTTTTTCCTCGTTTGCTCACACCAGGAAGCAGCAACGTCTGAATTACAAAAATACGAGCTATCCGGCGGACAGATAAAAATACGGAAAATCTTATTTTCTGTTTGTAAAAGCGGAGAAAATAGCTAAAATAAGTAAAAATGTGGAAGGGTTAGCAGCTAGGACGTAGTTTAAATTTTCTGTTTATCTTTGAAAACCAGAAAAAAAAAACGAAACTTTTAGAGAATCGGAGTTTTTGATAAAAAGGCTGGAATCCAAGAGGCAAAAGCGATAAAAGCAAAGATCCGCTGAAAAATCTCATCCCTGTATTCATCCCGGTCAACCAGTTTTATCCCAAGGATATGATTTTTAGAGAAACTTCAAAGGGAGGAAGGGAGACTTGAATACTTTCGCTCCGAAGAAAATTAAATTCCTCAGAAAATATTTAAACTTGCGCAAAAAAAATTTCCGCTGTAATTAGCGGGAAAAATTGAAAAATCTGAAGAGAAAAAAAAGCGGAAATCCGCAAGAGAATCACATCCTTGTTCTTAAAAACCTCCAATGAAAAATGCACCTTTAAGGGCTATCAAAAAAGGAAAATAAGCACATTTTAAAAATGCTGTGCACCATGATGTATACACAATTCCAAATTAATCAACTTTTAATTGCTCCATACCATTTCACTGATCAGTTTTAATTTTTTCAATGTGGGTGAGAAATTTAATTAGGGTCCTCGTTGTTTAAACTTTTCATGTCAACAAATTCTTGTGTTTATAAAGACAAACATTTAAAATTGCACCCATCACTTACCGTAAGAAATTCTTAATAGCATAAGTAGTCTATTTTATCATGATAAACAAGCATTGTTTAAAGATGCTAATGTAATTACATTTTGCGTTTATCTTACTATCTATATTAAGTTAAATCATAGAGTTAGCACTTTACTTTTGAATCCAAACACACTCCACAAAAAGCTTGAATCAGGTCTATATCCAACCAAAAATAAAAATAAATTACTACAAAAGACTATAATTATGATACAAATGACTAAAAATTAACTTTTTTTAGAATAATCACGTGTTACCTTTCCCAAAAATAATAAAGAATAAAATGTAAACTTCAGGTTCCAATATGTAAAAAAATCCTAACTCTCTTCCATGGAAAGTAATATATCTATTTGCCGACCTCGTAGAGAAAAAAAAAATCAGGTCAATTTTTAGAACAGTATGCATACACCAGATTACTTAAAAAAATAACCAGTACCAATTATATAATATTCCTCAAAACCAGTATTTATTTACAATTTGAAATGTCAACACAGTGTCTATACTTTCACATTCAAGCAGTTTATTAGATGATCCCAACATAAAATACATGGGTTTTTATAATTTCTGTAATAAGCTGTTTCTGTTCTGTCATAAAAAAGAGATTTTTATAATATCCGTAAATAGTGGAGAGGATCACTAAATGTAATCGAACATTGAATGATAATGTTTCCCTTTAGGTTTTATCAGTTTATTCTATTTCTGAAACACAAATAAGTTTAAGTTACATTGGCAATAATTAATCTATTATCATTAAGAAAAAAAACATATTCAATTAAACTTAAATACTAGCTACTGAACTACAGGGCTAAATAGAATAGAAGGGCTGCTTCACTCCTTTGAAGAAACTCTCGCCGAGTCAATCCTCCAATTTTCTCTAGTGAAGTCACTTTGGCGCAAAGCTCGCACTTTTACTTCAAGAACAGAGCGTTCGGCCATACTAGCTCCAACTAATATTGAAGCATTTCTTTTAGTGACATATTCTAAAACTCTTGTTATTTTCTATAATGACTTTCCTCAGTTTTTGCCGTGAATTTACAATATTTTAAAACTATTAACGAAATACCAGTTTGCGCGATTGTAACTTGCAAAAATTCTGATAGAAGAACAAAAGGAAAAAATATAATTTTTTGCGCGTTCCCTAAAGTAAATGAACAACTATGTAAAGAATGGATTCTGAAATGGCACAGTTAATATAAAACAGCAATACGTTTTTTCTATCGTTAAGAACTTTCATAAAAATTCATTATCTAAATAGAAAAATAAAAAAAATTTCTCCCCCATAAAACTCAAATTAATTCATTCAATTTAATGAAAAAATTAATACAGTGAACCTTCAAGAGACACACTATTCACTATGAATAATATATTCACAGGCAATTTAACTAATGGTTCCCAAACTCCCCCCTTTTATTACACATTGTTCAAATAAATGACTGAAAAATATTACTTAGTAGCGAAAAATGTGTTATTTTTCATTACTCTTTGTCTTACATACAAAAAAAAAAAATAGTAATCTTTAGCTGATGAACAGTCCTGAACATCAGATATGGAAAAACTTCCAGACTCTTAGATAATTTTCCTGAATTTCTGTTATTCCGCTTTTTAAATCTGTCTAACCTTCCATTCGAGCACATAAAAGTAGTCTCATAAAATAGCTTTGCAAATTCGTCGACATTTGTCCAGATACTTCGATTGGTGAACCACTTAGTAATGCAATTTTGCATAAGTTATTTAAAAAATTATTAACTAATTAACAGATAATAAAGCAAAAATTGTTGAAAAAAGTAATTACGTCGCTAAATATTAGTTTTATTTTCACTTTTTATGAAAAAAATTTGTGATTTTTGATTGAACACAATTTGATTTTAAATTGAGTTCATCAATTTTCTTATCTACAATGTGCAAAGAATGCAAGATTTTTACATTTTGAACAAGATTTCGAACCATCTTAACAAAGCATCTTCTACGTTTTCTCTTTCAGCTCCACGCAGTTTTTTCGATGAAACCATGTTTTTGTCGTATGCCGCAAGAATTGCACTTCGATTTTTCCAAATGTTTGAAACTGTAGATTTTGACAAGGAAAATTCCTTACACAGTGTCGATTGATTGGTTCCATCATCAATACGCTTTACAATTTTAACTTTGTCCTCTATCGAAAACGCTTTTCTCTTTAGAGAATTTGCCATTTTCACTGCTTTTGAAATAAAAATCTTGTCTCAAATAGATAATGTAAGAATATGAAGAGAGCAGCTGTAGAATGAGTTAAATTGTTCCCCTTCTTGATTGTCAAGGGGTGATTTGTAAAGAATATGGTTTGAACAGATAAGAAAATTCCAAAAATTCAGCAGGTGGCCAAGTTAACTAGTTGTAGAGCAAGCTTGGGGAAAAGAGATAAAGCGAGGCTTGTCAGGGAGGGGGGAGTATAAGATAAATGATCTGTTTGACATTTATTACAGTATAGTTAAAAGTGATAAGCATAAAGGAGAGTAATATGACACATTTTATAGGAATGCATTCATTTTCAGTCCCAACACCTACAAGTTTAAAGATGGAGGACTGAAAAAGATATTTAAAGAAATGAAATTTGAGTCCACTATAACCGAGTTTCCAAGTTCTAAGCTGTTCACTATAAGCGTTAAAAATAACATTATTTAAATAGGAATACGGACGGGACCGCTAAAAAAGTTCACTACATCCGAGTGTTCACTATATCCCAGGTTCACTATAGCGGGGTTCGACTGTATTTAGTTTATCTGAAGAAAACATACTATTACATAAAATTAATCAGACCAGAAATTTGTGTGTTTATAACATCTATTTCAACTTCATAAGGAAATAATTTTAGTTTGCTTCATTGTTAAAAGCAAATAATAGAGTCACCTAAATAAATCTGATTTTAAGGTATTTATAAGAAATTTCCCTTATAAACTTATTTCTTAAACTAATCAGTACTACACTATCATGTGCTGTAGTAGCAGATAAATGAGAAGAGGGATGATAAATACACAGAAAGCAAAAGTTTTGAATTCCAGGAACAAATGAACAGGCAGAAAAAAATATTGTTTTTTAAAAAAGAGTTACTTACATCAATGTTCATCGTTTCGTAATTTACATGCACCGGATATTTTGGAGTTACGGAAGAAAATCCAGCATACGTTTGATTATTCCACAACATGACAGTTTGTGAAGTAGAGAGCTGTAAATAATAAATAATTATTTTCAAGCAAAAACACTAGAAAGACTGAAACTTACCAATATATTGCCCAAAAGCAGTCAAAATGACTGGATTGTAAGAAAATAACTAATGCGTAAAAAATTTGTTTAAAATTTTTAATAGTTTTTATATTATTTACAGTTATATAACAAGTTAATAAATATTAACAATAAAAAAAATTTATATGTTGTACAAAAAATCACAAAATTCTAAGAAATTGCGTCATTAAAAAGCTGTCAAAATGACTTCTTTGAGCAACCTACTGTTAAGAATGACTCAAGATAAGGAAAAACAGTTATAATTTTCATTTAAAAAAAAAAAAAAAAAACTTTTAGATCAATAAAAGCTTCATTTATTTTGACACTTGATTGATTTTCTGGCAGTGCTCCAAAGGAAACATTTAGGCAAGATGAGTCATAACAAGCATGCAAATCTTGAATAATAAATACAAACTTCACCACAGGACAATCAGGTAAACATAATAAAATTCACGACATATTTTACGACTATCGACAAAAAACAAAATACTTTTTTAAAAAAGAAAAGAAAGCTTTTATTATACTGCAGTAAGGCAAATTAAATTTCATCCTGAAAGAATAATTCTACTATCTTTAATTTCAGAATTACTTTGTTTAGAACAGAATATTAACAGAATTCAGCATAACTTTATTTAAGAAACACTGGACTCACAGTAGTTCGTAATCAATATATAGAAAATTTATATAGTTATATCAGAATGAAAATAATTAGTAACTATATATATTCCCTCATACCAAAATTTATAATAAAGTTCAAGACTCTTTTCTTAGTAAATAGTTTTAAAGTAGGAATTCAGTAATCGTGAAGCGAAAACAAAGTGAATATGCAGCTTCATGTTTTTGTACAAACTTAACTTAGTGGATGACGCCTCAATACTCCATCGTATTTTACAAATGGCGTTGAACAGTCGATCCAACTTTAGGCTTTACGACTACTGATGTACCGACTCCAAAGCGTTGTCATTTTGAACCCAATCCAGAAGACAAGGGAACTTCTGGATCAAGTATCAGGCGAAATTTTGTCTTCTTGGAGGACATTTTGGTGGAACTAACCCGCATTTGTGTTACATGGAGAGGAAAACCATGAAAACCTAGCACAGTTAGCCTGATGGCAAAAGAACTCTTAACTCACGATCAGTGAGGATACTTAAGTCAGCTCCGTGGTCGCAGCGAGCCGAGGGGGATTCCAACACGGTTCACCTCATTGGAAGGCAAACGCTGTATCCCCTGAGTCACTACGACTCAATTCACCATTTAAAAATTCCTTACAATTACTGTATTAATAGGAACAATCATTTCACAATCAGATGAAATAGTGGAACTATAAAAATTCCGCCCCACAAAATGTGTAACTGGATCTGGCTAAAAAATAATTAACAAGTTAACGACCCCCGAACTCGCCAGTATAAAAAATTTCATAATGTAAAAAAAAAAAAATTTCTCCATAAAATGACTGAATTTCCAAACAGTTTCAAACAATCCAGTAAAGTTATATGTTTCGACCGTGTTCCTAAGGTAGAACTATTAAATTTAGACATTTTTGCAAGCATAAATGAATACGAAAAAATATGTTGCATCAAGCATTTACCCAATATTTCCGATCCCTATATTAGTTGAAAAGTATTCTCTTTTACTTGGAAATTCCCAAAATTGAAGAAACTCTTGCATAAGCCAATGTAAAATCAAGGCATGCAAATAAAAATGTCTTCTAATAATGATAAATCTGTTGAACAGTGGGGAGTTCATAATCAAAAGTTCAAAAAAATACATTCCTTATAAATTATTCTTTTTATGTGTTTCAATTCGTATATTTCGACATTTAATTTTCAACTTTTATTTTATTGTCTTGTTTCATGACATTCATTAATTATTGCTAATGCTTGACAATAAGAGAAGTATTAGGATTTTAAGAAATTATAAGCAGACTTTAGCTTCCAAACAATTTCTAAAAGTAAGAAATTTACAGTACATCTTTTGATCATTCAAAGATAATTGGATGTTATAACACACACAAAGTGAAAAAACCTGAAACATTTACAAACAAAAACTCAGAATCATTTTATATACCGTACATAATTTAATTTTTTGAACTAAGATTTGTAATTAAATTGACTACCCAGAAGAATATCACACTTTTGCAGTAACTAATTTAATAAAAAACTTAGTTCCCACAAGAATGGAGATAACTTATAAATTATGCAGAAATGTGAAAACCTATGTTACAAAAGCAGGAATGTAAATCACAATATTGGATTTTAAAAACCTGTGAATCAGAATCGTGACATTGGATTTCTAAACTCTTGAATATGAATAGCAAAATTAGTTTTTAAAAACGCACAAATAAGAATCAAGATATTGATTGGAAAATGTAAACATAAAAAAACAAATCGTTGTGTTAGATTTTTAAATGGTGTAAATACAAATTGTGATAAGTTTTTTAAATGGTGTGAATACACTTTGAGAAGTGTAACTTTTAATAAATATGAAAAATCTATGTCTGATATTAAATAATGTGAACATGAATCTCTATATTAGCAGATTCCAGCAAAGTTTAAATATTCTACAGGGTGAAAAGAACACTCAAAAAGAAATTGTTTCCCAGACTTTTCCCAGTTTTTCTGGTACACGTAAAATGCATGATTTAAAAAAAATTCAAAATTTATATTCAATAAGAATGTGAACTAAAAATCTAAATAAAATAGCAACTCTAAGAAAGATTAATAATTAATTTTTACTAAAAAAAAAATCTGAAGATTTAAATGGTGTCAACTCTGATTAGAAATAATGAATTGTCAAAAAATGTGATTAGGAAAAATAACACCAAAGAAATTTACTCGGCAATATTTGACAGAAAGAATTGATAAATACAAAGCTTTTGGCAAAAAAATACCAATAAGAATGTAGAAATTATCTGTGTACAAGTGAAGCTAAAACGCATTTAATCAACATAAGAACATTTTTTAAAACAAAAATGCAGCAAAAATTTAAAATCTAATACAGTACAAAACCCGTTATCCGGAAATCAGAAAACCGGAATGAAATTCGATAAATTTTCCCGCCATTTTTTTCAAAAAAAATTTTTTTTTTCCTCATAAGATTTTTGTATTTTTCTTTCTTTTTTGAAAGATGTTTACCTTACCATCATTTCGGAAATAATCATTAGTGTATTACTTCATCGTTTTTTCTTCTTTTTAAGATTATTTCCAAAAAGTTTTTTTTTTAGTTGGGTTTAACAATAAAAAAAACTGCTTTTTACAGCGATTCAGAAAACCGGAAAAATCAGTTATCCGGAATAGCGATGGTCCCGATCGTTCCGGATAATCGGTTCCCTACTGTATATTAGCATCTATTAAAACATTGATTAAGGGAAAAATAAGCACCCATTAAATAGCAAACCATAATTGAGTGATACAAATATAAAAAGAAAATTTTACAAAAAAAAAAAAACATTAACACCACTATATTATAAAACCATTCTAAAAAGAAAGTAATAAGTAAACAATTCATATTTAATTAAAATTAATCCATATTTATTAAAATATTTCAAATAGAACATAAAACAAAAATATGTTTTTTATCATCAAAAGACAAGCATAAAAATAAACGATTAAAATTTAATATTTTTAATCCTTCGCCATGAAAAAAAAAAAAAAAAAATTCTTAAAATAAGAAACTCATCCTCAAGAAAACTAAAGATAAAACTCATTAATTAAATAAAAGAACTATAACTCATCCTAAAAGAAATAAAAAAAAGATTTAAATAATCTGTATTCAATTAAAATGAAACCACAATTAATCTGACAAACGCTTTTAAGAATAGAAGGAAATGAAAGTCTTGCCTCAAAATTCACTGAAAAAGATAGTTTTTAAACCAGAAAGGGTGATAAGGCAAATAAGGACAAAAAATCAGGAAAATTAGAAAGATCAGGACAACTACGAATCCTGATAATAGAGTCAAAAAGTTATATTGAAGTGGAATGTTTTGAGTCATCCTCGTGTAAAGATTTTAAGATCATCTCAAGTCACACATAAGAAAATTCCCAAGTTCTTTAAACCTGTGTCTTTTTGGCAATGTGTTGAAAAGTATATATCCTTTCATGCTATTTTAACAAATATACGGGTAGACAGACGGGATTTGAGAAATATACGGGTAGACAGGGGATAGTAGTAAAATACAAGAGTCTTTGTTAAAAAAACAGGAGACTTGGCAGGTATACATATATATCAAAATACATTGTATATCTATATAACTAATTTTAAAGCTTAACAGCAAGTTTTTCTTTTTTTTTTAATTTGACTACAAATTTCTCCAGGTTTGCCAGAATTTCTTCTTAAAACCACACACGATCAACAAATCAAATATGCAAGCAAGGTTTCAAAACCCTTGCTTGCATATTGACCAGTGTATCATAACTTAAAAAATTTTTTATAAAAATGACACACATCAGAAATGTTTCAAGATACTTACCTCACCCCCTTTAGGGACATAATTTGGTATTCCTAATTCATCACCATTATAAAATATAGGAGTGCCTAGAGCAATAGTAGCAATCATATGCATTGCATCCACTAATTCATCACCAATTCTAGAGGCCAAACGTTTCACATCTTTACCTCCAACCTAAAAAAAAAAACAATTTTCATTTTTATTGCTCCAAATGGTCTTTTTTTTTACAAAAAGTAATTGAAAGAAAGATGGTAATAAAAATGAAAGGATTTCACAAAATGCATATATTTGAGGTGACTTACTAGTTAATATTAAATCAAACTTATCAAAAATTAACATTCATTATATAGATGAATCTTTTATTTATTACCAGCACTAACACTTTTTTCCAATTTCTAATCTACAGGGTAGCCACAGAGGAAAAAAAATAACAATATAGCTACTTTCAGTAACCTGAAGTAAGGAAATAGTAACCGAAAACTATGAAAATAGTAGCCTAAATAAGAAGAAAAATATGACTAAAATTTAAATAAATGTCTTAATTGTCATATACCATGATCTATTTAAAGTAGGTGGTAAATATGATCATATTTATATAAATAATAGTGTCCTATCACTAAAGTTTTACATCAAAAAATTAGTATATTTGCAGAAAATCAAATACTTATAATTACTAGAAATCATTAAAAAAAAAATTTTATTAAAAAAAAAACTCTCAAAAATTTTCAGTTTAAATAATTAATTTTGCATATATATATATAGGGAAAAGTGATAATTCAAATTCGAAATTCACGCATCGTAATATTAATCTTATTAAAAACTGGATTTTCCAAAATCGTGCAGAATTTCGTAGTAATAACCGTTGAAAAAGAGATAAAGAAACAAAATAGATTTATAATGGAATCTGTTCAAATTGAGTGCATTTAAAAGTAATGATTAAAATTTGCAATTTAAAATTTTTTGATTATTAAGAAGAAAAAAATTTACTGCGTTTAGAAGCTGCCGTGGGCCGCAGGTTGTCAACCCAATTTATGCTTAACAAAAAAACTTAACTAGAAGCACAGAAAAGTCATTAAATAGTCTTTTTTCCTGAAAATAATTGCTTTTTTAGCTTTTCAGGGGAAAAAAAGGTGCCATAGTCACATCAGGTTGAAAATAGTTGCAAATGGACGCATTGCCTGTGACAACCCTGAATTTATTGCGTAATTGCCTAGGATCAGGTTTACTTCTAGCTAGTAAAAATTACTGAGCTGATTGAAATTTTAAAAACTCATTTTGCTAGAGCAAATGCAGTTAATAAGTAGTCCATTTTGAAACCTTTCAAGCCATTATATTTGCTTTAGGAAAAAAAATTTTATGAACACTATATTAATATTTTTGTTTAGAATGCATAATACATAGAGATGATTGAAGACTCTCGTAGAATATCCTACAATTATCGAATTGAACAAAAATTCAAGTAGATTCAACAGTTTTTGACTTAAACTTATTGTACAGAACAGAGCTGCATAAAGCTGTAGCTGGGGAATTGCTATTTGAAAAATAAATAAAAATTTAAGAAAAAAGTCAAAAAAGTAATCAAGCAACAACATTAAGTAAGAATGCATGCTTGCTTAGCAATAAACTATGTGAGAATTTCAATTTAAAATCTTAGAGGGCAAAAGCTAAAACGGATGCCTTAAATAACGATAAATATTAAAAAAAATTCTTAGGTTATAATAAAAATAGCAATTGTAGTGAAGAGAATAATTGTAGTGAAGAAAATAATTGTAGAATTAGATTTCATAAACTGCATGAATTAAGTCCTTTTAAAAAAATTCATCATCTATTCGATTTAGCATGTGAAAATAAACATTGAATACCTGTTAGGAGAATTACAGCTGTCACTAGTTAAATAGGGGGATCCATTTTTCATTTCAGGATAAAGGCATATTAAGTGGTTAGTATTATTTTTGAAAAATCAATTTCTAAATTAATGCTAGGTCCAGTAGAATATATGTATAAATAAACCCATTTTCAGCAGGTATGATTAAAAATAAGCAGCTCTCACTTGTTAACTTATTCTCATTGATGAATAATTTTGATACAAATAAAGTAATATAAGAAAAAATTTCAATTCCTACTTAAGGTCAACAAAGAAAAATTTTTATTTAATTTCAGTTATTTTTTTTATTAAATAATTAAAAAATTTTCTCCCATATAAAACTAAAATTAATGAATTAATATTTGCAAAAACTGTATTAAGATCGAGTGTCAGACACTATAAGTTTAATAAAAAATGTATTTGAACTTGAATGGATAAATAAAAAGTATTTTATCAACGATCGAAAATTTGAACAAGATATAGGGAGAGCGTGAACTAATTGTAGGAAATGGAAGGAAGAAAAATGAAGGAGAAAAAAAAAGGTGTGTGGTATCAGCCAACTATAAAATTATAAATTTGGGGGCATGGACCACACATGCTACCATGTAGTGTTCTTTATTGAATTTATCTGACACAGTGAATATAAAATAACTAAATATTTAAATGTGAGCAATAAACTTTTTTTTTGTTCTTCAAATAGAGCTATAAATTTGAAATTATAACTGATGTTAATTTTAAAATATGTGAAAATAAAATTTAAAGCAATGACTAACACTTAACCAGGGTGCGTAGCCAAATCTTTGAATCAAAAATAAGCACTTTAAAAACTTTTCAAGCACTCAAAAAATTCATATTCAATCAATGACATTATTGAAAAACAAAAACTTTAAAAAAAAAACCCAAAAAGAAACGGGCGTAAATCGAAACAATCAGTACTTTCCCACATCACTGAGTGAATTCAACTTGACCGTCTTGACCCTGAACTCAGAACAAAAGTACCCTTACCCCTTACATCAAAAAAAGTGTTAGAAGTAAAATAAAACAAAATAAACAAGAATAACATTAAAATAAATTAAAAAGAAAAGCATTTCATAAGGATCTGATATTCTCTATCGGAATTGGAGCACTCTGGTTTCGGTCTGAAGTGTGTGCGCATGCGCAAGTCATAACGTGGGTACGACATGAAGTCCGCGTGAATGATTACTGTTGAAAAATAGGAGCCAGCTTACTAAGTATAATATATTGAAGACATCTATTACTACTCAAAAATTCACTTCATGGAAAAGGTACAACTATATTTATTGAATATAAATCTTTAAATATAAAGTAAGAAAAACTACATTCAAATAAACTAAACATAACTCTTTAACATCACATAGCTCTTTCTAAACATAACATAAGAGAAGGAACATCCTCTAACCAAAGCAAAGATATAACTAACTAAAAACAGAAACACCCACTTCCTTCTAGCTGAGATAACAGAAAGTGACCCAACTTCTCCTAGAAAGTGACCCAACTTCCCACAGGAAGTGACCCAACTTCCCACAGGAAGTGACACAGCCAAGAGGAAAATACTGTTTACATTTCTATTTGTTTACATTTTCCCCAACAATTACGTAGGCAACTCCCCATTTTTCGTGAAATGCATGGGATCCACCAGATATCACTGAAGGGAAGAAAAAAATTATTCGGAAAAAAGCACTTTTTAACTGAAAAAAGCACCTTTAAAAGCTTTTAAAAACGAAATCCCCCAAAAAAGCACCTTTAAGCACTTTTTACAAACGCTACGCACCCTGTTAACCTATCAGAAAATTCCATTTCATTTTACACTCATCCCTATTTAATGAATGAGTTAATATTTTTTTTAAAAATACTGTATTAACATCCATCCACAACAAGTTTTAAACAAAAATTGTATTTGAAGTTGAGTGGATGAATAAAAAGTATTTTATTAACAATTTGAACAAGATATTAGGTGGAGTTGAAATTGAGAAAATGGAGAACCTTATATGAGTGAAATGAAATAGTAAGTCTGATTACCAATGATGCAGGCCAAGCCCATGCTGGTATTTTTCCATTTTCATCAAGATGTTTCTTCAATTCAATTCCAGTTGGATTCTGGGAGATCTCTGTAAAGTGCTTATTGTACGAGAGATCCACTATACGGTGAGTCTCATTCCCATAGTATGCAACAGCGGATGACAAAGAGCCAGAAATTTCAGCAAACAGAACTCTGAAAGAACCATATTAATTAAGAAAAAATTTCAATAAATTATAACGACCACATGTCATTTTTCAATTTCTCCCTTTCGAATTAATTTTTAACTTTGAAATCTTATGGAACAATGATTTTAAATTTTATTTATAACTTAAAATAAATTTTTTAATGCAGCAAATAATAAAAATCATACTCATTTATTATATTAGAAACTTTCCCACTTTGTAACAAGTACCTTGTTTTTTTAATTTTTTTTAAAACATTTGCATACCTTTTATTTAATATATATATATACGAGGCATGTTTTTTTTTAAGTAAGTACCGTTTTGCCACACCGCGGTAGCAGCGCTGCGGTCGTCGTTCTGCGCATGCACACTGGGTACCTACATCTCTTGCCTACGCACTGACGCCATTAGTCAGATTCTTCCTTGTTTACGTTGTTTACTGAGTGTTTAAGATGCCTCCCATAATCGTGAGTCCCGCCGACTGTGAAGTACAGGCTGTTATAAGATTTCTTAGTGCTAAAGGCCTAAAACCGATCGATATTCATTGTGAGATCTGTGCAGTTTATGGACAAAACATTATGAGTGATGGTATGGTAAGAAAGTGGGTGAGAGCATTTAAAGAAGGCCGCATAAATGTGCATGATGAACAACGGAGTGGGCGTCCTTCAGTCGTTAATGAAAGTTTGGTGCAGGACGTGAACAATAAGGCGACAGAAATCAAACGCTTTACGATTGTGTTTTGACTTTCCTAATGTTTCTCGTAGCGTTTTGTATAGCACTGTGACCGAGCACTTGAATTACTGAAAATTGTGCTCACGTTGGGTACAGAAAATGTTGATGGATGTACACAAAACCAAACGTTTAGGCAGTGCATTGACTTTCCTTGAGAGGTACCACAACGACGGTGATGATTTCTTAAGCCAAATTGTTACTGGCGATGAAACATGGGTGCCCTACGTCACACCAGAATCAAAGCAACAGTCCATGGAATGGCGGCATTCAGATTCAGCCAAAAAAGTTAAGTTTAAGCAAATAATTTCTGCTCGGAAAGTCATGTGCACAGTTTTTTGGGACAGAAAAGGAGTATTGCTTGTGGAATTTCTGCCTCGTAATGAGACAATCAATGCAGCAGCTTATTGTGAGACATTGAACAATCTGCACCGTTCACTCCTTAACAAAAGACGTGGCAAGTTGAGGAAGGGCACCGTTTTACTGCATAACAATGCCCGTCCACATGTGGCTAATAAGACCAAAGCTCTCATCACATCTTTTCAATGGAAAACTCTAGATCATCCTCCGTACAGCCCCGATCTGGCGCACAGTGACTACCATCTGTTCCTGCACTGGGCGGCTAGCGTCTTCAAGACGATAAACAGTTTTGATACAGTGGTTAAGAAGTCAGGCGGCAGACTACTGTGAGGAGGGTATTCAAAAACTGGTACAGCATTATGACAAGAGCCTCAATGTTGAAGAAAATTACATAGAAAAGTAGATTAAAGTACACGCTTTTATGTAAAAATAAAATTATTGAGATATCTTTGCACGTCTTTTTTTTAATTTCAAAACTGTACTTACTTAAAGAACATGCCTTTATATATATATATATATATATCAGAATTTTCCTCTTATTTTATAACCCATGTCAAACAGCTGACCAAATTTTGAGATTATGAATATCATTATTCAACTCTGTAACCCAGTATTTTGAACCCAACCACGAAGACAAACAAACTCCTGTATCAAGCACTGGGACAAACTAACTTTTTATGGAGGACTTTTAGATGGAATCAACTCATACTGGCATAACATGGTGAGGAAAACCACCCACGTTTTCTGACAGCAAAGGTATTCTAATCTATGATCCCTCAAACAAAGAGGATATTTTACATCAGCACTGTGGTGAATGCAAGCCAGAGGCAGCATTTGCAACAACTAGCCACTGCTGGTATTCGAATCTAGGTGACCTCAATGGAAGGCAAACCATCTATCCTAGGCAATTGCGACTCATCTAAGCATTTGCAAATCCCAGGGATGCGGAGAAAAAAATTTTTGATGCTCCGGTTTCGTTCCTAGATAATAAGCTAAGCCCCAGTTTTTCTCATTTTAATATACATTTATGCACACTTTTATTCATTGGGAAACCCTAAATCTTATAATTTGCAAATATAATTCTTTCCTTCAAAGATTAGTGGTGGGTATAACATTAACAGTGACATATATTTCAAAATAATTGACCAAAATTGGGAAAAAAAACTGTTTAATTTTGTTCTTTATATTATTATAAAAGTTGGAAAATGGTTTTTAATGCAAAAATAACATTTTAAATGCAATAACTCCTGTATTTATAACTTTTACATAAACATGAAAAAGTAAGGGATTACACACACATCTTATACAATTAGAGCAAATGACACAAAATTTTGAAGCCAGATATAATATTACTAGACTAATATAATATAAAAACACAACATGATTTTCAATACATACTTTTTACAAATCTTTTACAGTATAGGATATCCCAAAAACCCCACCCACATTTCCCACCCTCGACTGAAGTTGTAATTGGTAGGAAACTAGGACCCGTAATGCCATCTATTAGGAAAATAGTGAATTAAGTATCCCAAAGTAGAAACAAACTCAGCTCGGGCTCCTCAAAAAAGAAACTTTTCTAGTGAACAAAGTCAGTTCCAGAACCACAAATACTGCACATAATAGTTGCCTGAACTGCATTCACTGGCAAGAGGTTTAAATAATTTAATATGATCTTATGAATATAGCTGGCCAATTCAGATGCGCTGCAATAAATTTAAAAATCAATTTCCTAAAAAAAAAAACATGCTCTACTAACTTAAAAATTCCAGAGGAGGTTGCAAAATCACTGATGATCTCTTTCCATTCTGCCAAATATCCAACATTTTCAGGTTGATTAAGAGTGTAGACATGATTGAAATCTTTATACTCTACCTACAACATAAAACAGAAAAATACTAAATATAGTGGCTATTGACATAGGAGTAACATGAAAATTTTTGAGGGGGCATGCAGTATTTTTTTTTTACTTATTTTTTTATTCATTAAAATATATATATTAAAATTATTTTGCGGTAGATGATGGATTTAAGGGGTAATTATGAGTCGAACTCAAAAATCCTGAAAATTTCATTAATGAATAAAATCATTAATGACTCATTTCAAAAAATTAATGTCTTTATAAATTCGAATCATTGTTATTGTTGTAATTGTTGTTTTCAAAACATGAAATTCTAAATAAATCCTATGCAGCATGATTTAAATGAATAATTATGTATAAGTTTACTTTAATATTTAATCACATTTATAATTCTAAAAGAAAAAATATTTACAATGAAAGAGATGCCAAGTATAAATTCTAGTTCTAATATTTTAAAATAAAATCGACAAGAATTTTTATTTATAAATGTGATCGATGATTTCTTGAAACTACTGGACCTTGGATTTCCGGATCACGGTTAGCGAAAAATTCGGAAATCCAGATTTTTTTCCAGAGCACAATCATCTCTGGGATTCTGAATATGTATTCCGGTAATATTATGAAACCAGGGCATCTTAATTTTTTAACCTTTATTATCTTAAAAATAAAAATACCAAGACAAAAAATCTTTTTAATAACCACTTATTATAAAAGGTTAAGATTCGTGTACAATGCACAAGAAAAGGATGATTTTTAATCTAATGATTACATCTTCACATTCTAGGACTCAAACTTAATGGTTTGAGGGGGGTGACATCAAACATGAGAAATAACTAGTAGAGACGACACTGTAAGTTACGAAATCAGACACAAAAACTTACTTTCTCAGAAAACATACCTTTTTTGGCGGATTCAGATTTCTGATCCCCAAAATACAAGGTATGGACACAAATTTCATTCTAACAATTCAAACAGAAGAGAGGTCTAAAATTCGGATAATAAATTGTCACTAAAAGTTTTTTTTTGCATCGAATATCTTTGGATAAACCAATTTTATAAATAAAAGAAAACATTTGTTTAACAATTTGAAATATGCAAAATAATCAAGGAATAAATAATCTTGTGTCTGCTTTATGTGTTGTTGTAACTGGTTTGACAAAAAAATTGGCAAGTGGTCCAACAGTAATCAAATCAGTTATTTATTTTTTGAATGTTTCCTTTTTATTTATTTCCTATCCACTTGAATTCTAATGCTGTTTACACATGGTAAAAAAAAAACATTGGTTCAGCTATTTTATTATTTGAATTATCAAAATTAATATTTGTATTAGAATTAATATAAATATTTAAATAGGTTAAGCATCAAAATATTTTTCATTGTAGACATACATAGGATAAAAAAAGAATTAATCAAAAAGAGTAAAACACACAAATCAGGCCCAAAAGCTAAAACAGGGTGCATAACGAAATCTTTCAACAAAAATTAAATACCTATTAAGCACTCAAAAAATATTTATATGTGACAAAATAACTAGCTTCTGACAAAGAACGCTCTTGTTTAGATTGTAGTGATCGAGACATCGTAAAATGATCGAGAGATTTTTCGGTTCCATATCAGAAGGTGGAAAATGAACCTTGAAATTAAGAATATCTTGCAAATGCAGCAGAGTTGCACATCAGAGAGAGCAATAAACTCAACGAACCCAGCTCAGTATATGCACATGCGGACTCTCTAGATTGTGGTTGAATAAATTGTGCATAACATTGAATAAAACAATGTGAAAACCATGCTTTTTCATAATACACAGCGAAAATAGACACTACAAGGAAAAAAATCTCATTTTTGAAAAGAGAAAATTAAGCCCTTTTTAAAAACGCCACATGAAAAAAGTACCTTAAAGAGCTTTTAAAAAACTAAATAAGCACCTTTAAGCACTTTTTAAAAACGCAAATAAAGAAATATTTTTTTTAAAAAAGGAATGTTAAGAGATACATTAAAACTGAAATGGGCATCTTAATAAAACTAGATAAAAAGAAATACATGGAAAAGCAACAATTTCCACAGTGTTATATGGATAGTTAGAATTCTACAATAATGTGAGGATTTTTAAAAAAAGGTTTTGAGTAATTGGGGAGGGGGTGCAGTATATGGAAGCAACAACTTACATTAGGAGGAGGGTTTTCAACACCCATGGCTTCATCACGCAGACTGGAGTCTTCAACGAGGTGACTTGCTGCAACAACTTTGAGGCCATCAATACCTTTTCCCAACCAGAATTTCACAATTTCCTTTAATAATGAATGCATTAAAATATTGTCATACATTTCACTTGAATTGTTGGAGTGGATCACAACTTACCTTTAACTCCTGTTGCACTAATGGACTTCTCAAATTGAGGTCAGGCTTGTCTTTTCCAAATGTATGAAGATAGAACTGTTGCCTGTTATCATTCCATTCCCAAGCGGAACCACCTTCAACGCTGGGCTATTAAAAAAAAGATTTATCAACTGAATTTATAACCTAAAAATGACAGGGTGTGTAGTTGAATCTTTCGACAAAAAATAAAAAAATCTTTCACTCAAAATATATTTTTAACCACTACATACATTAACAAAATGTTAAGTAATTATCAAAAACTTGGCGTGATCATCATAAAATAACTAGTTTCTGACAAAGAATTATTTTTCTTGATTATATTGACCATTATAAAATGACGGAGAGATTTTTCGATTCGATATCAGACAGAGGAAAATGACACAGAGAATATCTTGCAACATATAGAAGAAATGCACATAAGAGTGCTAAAATCTTACCTACCTCAGCTCAGAAAACGCACATTTGGACTAGCAAGTATTTCATCAAACATCCTTTTATACGCTATAGACAGACGGTACGCAGAAATGTATCGCAGATCTGTCAACTTTTAATTCTTTCGTCGACAATTTTCCATAGTCGTCGTAAAGTGGAATTTGAATCAAAAATTTAAGCAGAAACATACGTTGCACTTTGAAAAAGTTTTAAAGGGCAACTATGATTCTATTACATATTAATATACATACACTTAATTTTGTTAAAAATAGTGGTGGTCAAAAAAATTATTGATCAATTTTGCAAATTCAAGTAACGTATGGAAAGTGTACATTTAACTACCACTTTAAATATAAAAATAAAATTTTGCCCCAAATGCGTGAAAGTTTGCAGGTATGGCATTCTATTCGAATGAATTGTGAAAACGTTGAATAGAAAAATGTGAAAAATCGCGCTTTTGCATATTATGAGGTGAAAATAGACACGGTTAAGAAAAAAAAATCTAATCTTTGAAAAAAGAAAGCAAAGCACTTTTGATAAACACCCAATGAAAAGGGCTATTAAAAAAATGAAAATAAGCACCTTTAAGCACTTTTCAAAAACACTACGCACCCTGTACTACGGTAACAAGCGAGAGCGCATCTTTAATTTGGGTAACATGGAGGAAAAGGAAATTGGCTTAGGCCAAGATAAAGACAAAACTATGCACAAACACCCGTATTCCTAGTCTTTTCCTCGTAACCATATTACTCACCACGACTAGGAATTCTCCCGAAATTTAATGATCGTGATACTAATCTATAAATACAACAGTGCACTAACAATGTGAATGATGAGAGTAACTGGAACAATTGTTTAAAAGAAAACTGAGAGGATTGAAAAAAAAAAAAGTTTTGTTACCCAGTTGTTGGGAAGTTTGTTCTTATCTGCCACTTCAGATGGAGAATCAGCCCAAATGTAGAAGTCAGAGTAAGGCTCTTGATTTTCAACACTGGCAACAAACCACGGATGCTTATCACTTGAATGATTGGGAATGAAGTCCACAACTAAACGGATATCTGGAAAAGCAGTTTTAATACATCAGTAATGACTAAAATAGCAGAGAGCACTTTCAATAACATGTCATTTAAATACATACATTTTTTAATGCTTAAACAGGGTGCATAACCAAATTTTAACAAAAATAAGCACCTTTTAAGTACTAAAAAAATATTTTTATTCACTTTCCAAAAAAATCATAAGGGTCTTACATGAAAATTTGAACGTCTTACATGAAAAAAAACCTTACCTACGGTAAACACGTGGTTGCAGAGGGGTTGTGTTCTGTTGTTCGAAAAGGTTCTGAACAATACTGGTAAATAGGGAAGCTAGATACCGGGGCAAATGTTGAAAATAATGGAAGATCCAGGAAGAAAAGTGAAACTGATTTTATTCTAAATGACGTAATTTGAAGCTTTTTCCAAATTCGCGAATTTTGNAATGTGTTCTGAAAGGGGTTCCATGGTTCGGAGGGGTTGTGTTTTGTTGTTCGAAAAGATTCTGAACAATACTGGTAAATAGGGAAGCCAGATAACGGGGCAAATGTTGAAAATAATGGAAGATCCAGGAAGAAAAGTGAAACTGATTTTATTCTAAATGACGTAATTTGAAGCTTTTTCCAAAATGCGAGAAATTCACGAATTTTGAAATTGATTTATAGTATACACAAATTTTTCGAGGTAATCATTTTTTAATGCGAGAAAAGAAAAAATATGTGAGACTCTCGGTATGTAGTGAAAACACTGATGAGGGATGGTGGTTTCAGAAGTGTTCCACTGTGAACATTTTTATGTAACAGACAAATTATTTTCTTATTTCTTGTTCAAACATTTTTTATAATAATTTTTAACAATATACAATGATGTATTAATACGATGTATCTAAGGAAATAATATAATTTAAAAATGTGAAAATAAGTTTATGCTACTTACTTCTAACAACTAGTAAATATCAAAAGCTAGCATTATTTGCTGTATTAAATAATATTGTGTGGTTATTTTTCAGTATTTTATACAATTGCAGCGTTTTCACTACAGTACGAGAATCGCCTATTTTTTTCTTTTCTCGCAATAAATAACGATTAACGCGAGAAGTTCGTGCACTCTATTAATCATTTTTCAGAATGCACGAATTTTGGAAAAAATTTTGTCTTTTGCCATTTTGAATAAAATCTGTTTCACTTTTCTTCCTTGATCTTTCATTATTTTGAACATCAGTCCTTGTTATCTAGCTTCCCTATTTATCAGTATTGTTCAAAACCAGTGCGAACGGCAGAGCACCGGTAAAAAATTTAAGATGCCCAGCCTTATGATGTGTAAAATATATAGATGTCCAGCCTTGTCATATATTTCAATAAAGAGACTGTTCATTTATAAATCCTCATCTCACAATTATCTATCACTGTATAAAATTTAAGTTTCAGGAATTAAATGAAAGGAGGCATCAGTCAGGAACCAAAATTTATGAGGGGAAAAATTTTAATTATTTTATTTGGTATATAAAATTATATGTTCATTTTAAAATAATGCTCATATAAAATGAATATAATCAAATTATTGAAAAAATGCATTGAAAAAGTTTTATTTTTCTCAATGAAAGATATAATTTAAGTGTAGTGCTGCCTACCATCTGTTAATTATTATTAAGGATTAAATTTCACTTTGGAAGCTTTGGTTTCACAAATTGAGCTCTGTGTGTTAAGTAAGATTGTTTTTAAAAAAAGAACAGTGTTTCCTAATGTGCCACCATGGGGGTTAAACAAGCTTTTTTTATGAAAAAATCAATTCAATTGATTCAAATCAAATATTTCTCTTTAGATATATTTGAAAGATTTAAATTTGTTACAACATACAAGTAATAAATCTATTAATTTTTAAAAATATAAATATAAAAATTTAGCAGCACTAATAACTATTTGAAAATATTTACACAAAGATAACGAATCAAATATTTACTTACAAGATAAATCAAGACTTACCAGAAGATATATTTTAAAAGACATTTCAATTCAAGCAATTAATCATTTACTTCATTAAAAATTTGTTTCCATAATTTACTCCTTATATTTATAAATAAAATGTACTCTTTTCCTTTTGAAAAACAAATTAGTATTTTTTTTTTTAAAGTAAAAAGATACTTTTACTCTTTCAACAATAAACATTTTACACAAAAAATATTAAACCCCTGATGCTTTTTTCTTTTTTACTTTAATATTAATATATATGTATTATAAAAATGCCATAAAAACAAAAATACTTATGTATTTTAACAAAAAAAATATTAAAATATGCAGTTTAGTTTAAATTTAGATAAGACAGATTATGAATATCTGCCTTTTTTTCTTCGAAAATATGTTAAAAGAAAACAAAACGCGAAACAATATTTTATTTTACAGTAATCAAGTTAACACATAAATATTTTGAAACGATAAAATTTTATTTTTTTATTAAAATCTCGAAATTTATAACATCACTGAGATGAATTTCTTTATTGCATTCATACGAATAATTGATCTTCTCTGATTCAAATCTGAAATCGTATTTGCATTTAAAATAAACAGATTTTTATTTAAAANAAATTTAGATAAGACAGATTATGAATATTTGCCTTTTTTTCTTTGAAAATATGTTAAAAAAAAACAAAATGCAATACAATATTTTATTTCACAGTAATCAAATTGTTAACACATAAATATTTTAAATCGATAAAATTTTATTTTTTTTATTAAAATCTCGAAATTTATAACATCACTGAGATGAATTTTTTTATTGCATTCATACGAATAATTGATCTTCTCTGATTCAAATCTGAAATCGTATTTGCATTTAAAATAAACAGATTTTTTTTTAAAAATGATGTTTGTAAAAAACGTCTTGGCCAGAAATAAATTTGTTCCAGAGTGGTATAATTAAAACAATGAATATAATAAAAATAAAAAAAATTTAGAGTCGATTCCTACTAAGGTCAACACAGAAAAAAAATTTTTAATTACTTTTTATTAAATAATTAAAATTTTTTCTCCCATATGAAACTAAAATTAAATAAATTTAATTGATGAATTAATATTTGACAAAACTGTATTAACATCATCCACCACAAGTTAAAAAAATGTATTTGAACTTTACAGGACGAACAAAAAGTATTTTATGAACGATCGAAAATTTGAACAAGATATAGGGAGAGAGAGAGAGAGTGAACTGATAGTAGGAATTTAATATATGCACAAATATGATTAATTAAATTTTCTCAAAACATATACGAATTAAAAGCATTATTATAAGATGAAGAAAAATTCAAAATAGACATTTTTGAAACATAAGGATTACCGTTTTCTTTCAATTTGGTTACCAATTCTTCAAACTCAGCCAGAGTTCCGAAGTTACTGTCAACTTCTGTGTGATTTACAACTCCTCCGTTAGTATCACCTTTATAAAACGCACTCAACATCAGGGCAGAAATTTTTTGCTTTTTAAAGTAGTCTAATTTCTCAATAATGCCTGCAATGGAAAGACAAATCACGTTTCAAGAACAGTTACAAAACAAATTATATATTCTAGTAACGGGGATGTTACACAGGCTTAGACAAAATGAAATACTTTTCTGCCAACATAAAATCTCAATTAAAAAACTTTCTGCACACATTACCCTAGTAGCAATATAACTTGGACCCTTTCTAGACCAATATTCACGAATCTAGGCTCAACAAGGGTTTTAGACAGTGGGGGAGGAGTTATTGACCATGCCAACCTTCATCTATCAAAAGGTACCTTGTGATTGAATCAAGTTAGCATGTCTTATATACCAGTGAATTGATGTTTAATATTCGTAGAGGTAGTTACGCTACAAGACCAATATTCACGAATCTAGGCTCAACAAGGGTTTAGACAGTGGGGATTTTCTGATATTAGTCCTCCATATAGAATAGTCTGATTCATTTCATATTTTACAGCCACTTTACTACCTATATCAGTTGACAGATTCATGCAATATTTTATAGTCATTATTCAGCCTACCTGCAAACTTTTAATCCTTTTGAGGACGATTTACCCCAGAGGTAGTAAAATGGTATTTAAATTACAATTTTAGGCAGAAACATATGCTGCATTTTGAAAATGCTTATGCAGACTATCATAACAGTGTTACATATTATGCTTAATACAGAGCTCATTCTAGGCAAAAAAACAGGCAGGGTGCAAGAGTTTAAAAAAAGGGCATTATTATTCTAAAAAGGCAATAATTTCTTTCTATGGGCTTAACACGTTCGATTAAAAAACATTGTCAATTAGTAAAAGAATTTTTTTTTTACTTTACTAAAAGTAGCAAAGCAATCATATTAATTACTAATTTTTATTAATAAATTAAAGTATATCAATTTAATGAGCTAATTAGCTTAGTAATTTATTTAAATGCATGCACATATTATAATAATAAATGTATGTTTTTAAGTGTCTGTTGTTATGATTTAATAATTAAAATGATTAATAATAATTATGATTTAATGATAGTGGAAGTAACTGCAAACTTTCAAAGACAAGTACAACAAGAGGGTATGATGGCTATTTTTCCTTTTCCATATAAATCTATGTATTGACAGCAATGACAAACTAAATAAAAAGAGTGGAAAATAACAAAAGCTTAAGAAATCCATCGTAGAGTTTGGGGGAAAAAAAGGTTTGAGGAAAGAAAGGGTATGGAGTCTATTACATCAGGGCACTAATTTACTTCAGGGGCAACAGGGTGGATTCTTTTGACTAAAAGGGCAGCAGGGAGCTGCACCCTGTTTACCCTACCTAGAATGAGCTTTGTACACGCTGTAGAAATTTTTACTCTTTAAGGGTTGATTTATACACACTTAAAGTATTAATTCTTAGTTTAAATGAATAGTACTTTGAATCGGACTATAAAAGTAACAAAAGCATTTTCTTTCAAGCATTTATCTACCTACATCTATGATGATAGTACAGCAAAAAGTATCAATCTGAATATGTTTTGTTGTTTTAAATTCGAATAATCGAATTTCCACGTATTATAAACCGATTTTAATGGTTTAAAGGAGTAAACTTAAATATGCTTATTAATTAGTGTTAACTATTAAGTTACGAAATCAGACAAAAAACAAAAACGCACTTTCTTCGAATAAATGAAACTTCTTTTGTTGTTGTTGACTGATATGGATTTTTTCCCACCAAAGCAGGTGGGATTGTGGAAAATAGAGTCCAGATAATTTAGTCTTATGTTTGGGTCCCTTAATGTTAATTTTACTTTTTGCTTATTTCGTGGACTTTTCAAGCAAACCAAAACATTTTTGCACACAATTATAAAATTTGTTTTTCCAAAGAAGAAAGTAATTCCTTTTTTATTATTATTTCGTTAAGTAACTGTCGAAAACTTCTTTAATTGTATAAAATCGTCTTAAAGCATGCACAACCTTAAATGACGAAATCGGTTTCTGAGTTATCCAATTTAAAAGAGTCGTATATTTAAAATTTAATTTCTTGTAAACTACTCTGCAGATTTCATTCTAATTTTGTACTTTGCCATTTTAAATAATTTTGTAATTTAAATTTTGCCATAAATAATAGAAAATAATTANTATTACATCAGGGCACTAATTTACTTCAGGGGCAACAGGGTGGATTCTTTAGTCAAATCCTTTAGGATTTGACTAAAAGGGCAGCAGGGAGCTGCGCCCTGTTTACCCTACCTGGAATGAGCTTTGCTTAATATTTTTTTTAAAAAGCGGTGGTCAAAAAGATTAAGTTTATAAATGCATATAGAAAGCATACATTTTACTACCACTTTAAAATATAGAAAAAAAATCGCGTCAAATGCGTTAAAGTTGGCAGGTATGTATGTATAAAGGACCAATATCGAAAAATCCAGGCATCTCAATGACAGGTCCCTCGATGCATGTTCAATTAGGACACATATTGATCCAATTTTGAATCCAACTAGGGCTTAAGGCAGAAATGTAGCTAGTAACTAGTTTCAACTCTATATATTTTTTTGGCAAAATTTGTTTGAAAATCACACATTATTTTTTTTAAATGCTAAATTGTTATACACTATATTAATTCATACTACAGTGATGAGTTTGGTAACAAACGTAAAAAGCTGAAAATAGAAATACAAAAATATCAGGAGCAAAAAAACTTTCATGTTGTAAATCTCGTTTGGCTTGGTAATGTTAATTTTTTTCTTCTTATTTTAATTACAGAAGTCAGAAATTTTTTGAAAACACCATTCGAGTGTACACTATCAGGGGTCTGTCCAGGCAGAATTTACTACCATTTAGCGGTACCTTCACAAATTCAACTTTAGAAAAAATGGTAGTTTCACAAATTCAAATTTAGGAAAAACGGTAGTTTCACAAAATACTTTTTCTTAAAACCCATAAGGAACAATAAATCCATATTTTTGTGTTGATTTTTTAATTTTTCACAAATTATGTCTAAATTTTCACAAAATAGGTAGGTACCTCTCAAAAAAACCTAGACAGACCCCTGATTATACAGATCAGATATTATAGGATTGCTATTGCATTATAAAACTGTTACGATTTCTTTGGTTTTGGTTTAGTGTTTTTATACTAGGTTTTTTCCACCAAATAACACATCACATTTAATCAAAATTGTGAACAGGGTCGGAATTTCGATCGGAAGCAGCCTATTTCCTCCAAGACTAGAACAGGGCGATAAATCAATCTATCAAGAATCATCGATTTAATACCAGGGGTCTGTCTAGGTTTTTCTGAGAAGTACCTATTTTGTGAAAATTTAGACACAATATGTGAAAAATTAAAAATAATATTAAAAAATCAACACAAAAACATAGTAAAAATATAGATTTATCGTTTCTTAAGGATACAAAAATAAAATCTTAAGAAAAAGTACTTTGTGAAACTACCGTTTTTCCTAAAGTTGAATTTGTGAAACTACCGTTTTTCCTAAAATTGAATTTGTGAAGGTACCGCTAAACGGTAGTAAATTCAACGTGGACAGACCCCTGAATACCATTCTAAAATTTGTCAAATGTTGTTAAAACAAATCAACACTTAATTTCAAGCAAAAGAAGTTAATAAAGTGTTGAAGATTTACTGTGCTACCCCACTCAAAAATCTGATACCACTACACTGGTTTTGACAGGACGGTTTCATCCTCGGTTTTAACTAACTAACCCTGATTTAAACAAAATATGTAGAGTGGCTCAGGGGACAGCGCCTTCAAACGGGTTCAAATCTCAGCAATAGCTGGTCAATGCGAATTATGCATCCGGCTTGCACCGACCACAGTGCTAACTTAAAGTTTGGTAGATGGACCCTACCAAACTTTAGTGGTAGATGGACCATAGGTTAGAGTCCCTTTGCCGTGGGAGGTCTTCGTGGTTTTCCTCTCCATGTAAAGCAAATGCGGTTTAGTTCTATCAAAAAGTCTCCCAGAAGACAAATTTCTCCCAATACTAGATCCACGAGTTCCCTTGGATTGGGTTCAAAATGACAAGGCTACGGGATTAAACATTAGTAGCCGTAAAACCTAAATTATGTCGGCTGTTCAACGGTTTGAAAATAATATACTTGATCCAGGAGTTTTCTCGTCTTCTGGATTAGGTTTAAAATTACAAGGCTGGAACATTAGTAGCAATAAACCCAACATTTTGGGTCGGCTGTTCAATGACGGGTTGCTTTAGAGACTAAATCTAAAAAGGCAGTATTTTGAAACAGTATATCCAAAAAGGAAAAAAATTACATTAATAAAAGGTACACTAGAAATACCCCCTTGAAATAAATTGCTCAAGAGAACAATATTTTCAAAATATACCTTTGAAATCACCGATTCCGTTTCCATCCGAATCTTTGAAAGTTTCGACTTCCACTTGGTAGAGAGCATCTTTTTGGAACCATTCGACCTTTGGAGGTGGTGGACATCGAGGGGCCATAATAATAATGACCACAGCACCCACCAGCATCACAAACCAGGCGATCCAGAAAAGGATGAAGAGTATGAGACGGAGCCTCACCCAGAAGGGCTCATTTGCATATTTCATCAACTCATCTTTACCCATTCCAACAGCGCTTTGAGACATCTGAATATCCACCTTAGCTTCTCCATTCTTTCCTGTATCCAAATTCACCGAAGTGAACTTCACTTTATCTCCTGTTAATTTTTCTTTGGCCGAACTCTCTTCGTCCATAGTGTCGACTACTTCCGTATCGTGCTGGTCGCCATTGCAGGCACCTTCTTCGTTACTTTTATCCATTCGATTAATTCAAAGATGATTCGGTATACAGACCGAAATGAAATCGATAATGTGTTGTTTAATTCTCTAGCTCAAATGCAAAGAGCGTACAATATGGAAATAGTAGTTATATAATAAGTGACGAAACGATCTGGTATTTTAGCGTCACTTGATAGAAGTGTTGAGTTCGATCTATTTTTCGACCAGGGGGAAGGGCGCTGCCACTCTGGCGTAATGATGACGTCACGTCGTAAAGTAGAGCACGCATGCGTTACAATGACTTTATTTTCTTAAGAATGATAGAACTGTTTTTATCCAAGGTTTTTTCCTGTTTGATTTTTAAGATAGGTGAAGTGAAAAATTTTTTATCTATAAAATAAATTTAGATCAAGTTCAGATTAACGTATAAGCTGGATAGGGCCTCCCTACATTAGAATTTTTTTTAAAGCTTTGTTTGAAACTTAAAAATTTGATATTAGATTTCAAAAAAAAAAATTCGCATTACTCGGCGCTTGTCAAAATTTGCAAGTCAACAAAGAGGCTTTCTTCCCAATTTCCTGCAAATTGTTTCTCTAATTGCCTCTTTTTTTGTGTCAAATTTCTAGGAGTTTACTAAATTCGAGGGGGTTTTGGTATTAACCACAAATTGTGCATCAATTACCGCACAATAAGAATGTTTTAATTAAATGTTTCAGTCCGCTTTTCTGCGTACTATTTATTTATCAATTTTTTGCAGTTGCCCAATTTCTTAAAATAATACCATATGGAGGCACTGCTTATTTCCTTCCCCCCACAATTGCTTCTCATTCATCACTTTTTTTTCCCCTTCTTCTATTGATCTAAAACGTTCTTTACAAACACATTTTATTTGCTAAACATACAATTATTGTAGTTTCATAAAGGAGAATTTTGTTAATATGTTTATGGTAACGAAATGAACGATTCAAAAATATTCATGAACTTGAAGAAGAAAATTCAATTGAAATTATCATTTCTTTTTTTAAATTTAGTTGAAAACAACCAGTACTTATTAAAATAGCCATTTTTAATTAATAATAATTGGATTAATTGCGATAATGAAGCAGAAATGTTTGTTTGATTTACACTTGTCCGGAATTTCTTACAGGAATTATTTTTTTTAAGTAACAAGACTATTTTCATGTATACATTTGGTTGGTATTCCTTAAAGAAAGTGTTTCTCGCATGAGAGCTTTTTAAGATTAAGTGTCACAGTCGGATTAGCAATTTTCCAATCCAGCGGCGTTTAACAACCCGCTTCATTTTTAGTATTCTCTAAATAAAATTTAAAAAGAACTTGATTCTTGCTTTGGTTCAGGTGACAAATTTTAATGGAAATAAAAGCTTATATTTCAATTGCTTGCATTTAATTTACAGCCAAGATTAGAATCTCCAAAAAAAAAAGAAAATGTCCCGCAGTGGATTGATCGTTAAGACACGGTTCCCAGCAGATCACCGAAATCAAGCATCACTGGCTACGGTCAGTGTGCGGGTGGGTGACCACTTGGATCAGTCTGCGTAGGGACCGAGGGTGTGCGGTATTGGTCCTCGTTAAACTGTGCTACCGTAAAGTGACTTCGCGTGCAGGTCGTCGGGCTACCGAAGCGGGGGTACCATCCCCTCTGCAGAGGATCAAAATTGTGATGGCATGTCTTCGGATCTTCCTCAGGGATGTTTCCCAGACCGTCGCTAATAGCCCATTGTGCATCTCTAGTGCGCCGTAAATGAACTACAACAACAACAACAAAAAACCAGCCAGGTGGCCGAGCGGTTAGCATGCCTGACTGCGAAGCCACTGGCTGCGGGTTCGAATTCCGCTCTGGACATGGAAGTTTCTCTTTATGCGTTGTTGTGTGTGAATGTGGCCCACCCTATGGTATGTGTGGCGTGAGTAATGTTGCTCACTTCCGTGACTTAGGTTCACAGCTGCCCACTAGGTAACGTTAAATGAGCAACACTTCCGGCATCTTCCCAGGTGAAGAACATAAAAGTTCAGTACCTGCCGTTTGAAAGGGAAAAAAAGGAATCTCCAAAAAAGATAGCGAGTCGTTGTTTAAGGTTGCTGGATTGTAAATTAGCTCCAGTTATTACTTACATTAATGCTTTATAAAGGTTATGTGCCATTGCTTGGTATACTTTTACCCTGTATTCCCAACACTGTTTCAAAATGTAAATTGCCACATTCCCTACATTGAGTTTCCTTTTTTTTTTAATTAAGTGCCCGATATTCACTGAAGTTTTTCTGTTAGAGTAAAATTTGCTTGTCATAAAAAATTTGATTTATAGAAAAATGAAAATTAATTTTTTTTATACTAGATAATCAACTTAGTAACATAAAAAAAGAGAGAGAAACTAATACAATGTTTCTTTCTCTATGATTTAAATTTCTTTGGATTTATTTAAGTAGTTTAACTTAAGCAATCGAGATTTATTAAAACTGGTGGATAAATAGTCAATACTGAAAGCAAAAAGAAGAAAAAAATTAGTTTATTTGCTGAAGTAAGTGATGTTTTTTTTTGTAGTTTTCAGATTTACTGATGATATCCCAGGGCCCGATTGAGCTAGGCTACTGAAAATGATGGGGCTCTTATAGGTTCAATTCTATTTATATACACCTAAAGTAAATTGTCATTATTTTTTGTTGTTGAGTATTAACATTAAATTATCAAAAAAATTTGATAATATTTCTTGATTACTTGAGACTTGGAGACTTGAAATTATGAAAATGTGTAGAAATTATGCAAGGAGTTTGAAAGAATACAAGAAAATACAATTCGATTATTAATTTTATTTCATTTTATAACTATCGTTTAACAGCAGACCCCATTTTGAGTCTACGACTGCCATTGCTTAACTCCGTAGCCTTGTAGTTTCGAACCCAAACCAGAAGACAAGGGAACTACTGGCTCAGTACCCAAAGGTATTTATTAGTTATGGGAACTTGGATGACTTTGTGACCCCGATAGACTCAACGTGCCACAGTCGCCATTTTATAGACGGGTATTTTTCGGCCAGCTAGATTCGAACTCCAATTCTCACGATCAAGAGTCCAGCGCCCTACCAACTAGACTATGAAGGCCCAAGTATTCATTTATTTTATTACCATCATTAAACAGACGATCCAATTTTGAGTTTACAACTACTAATGTTCAACCCCATAGTCAAGCAGAAAAGTTTAGAAACTTCACTTCCAAACAATGTAATTGGAAGTTTTTAAACTATTTTTAGGTGACTAAAATTACTCCCTTTTTTTTGACGAGGTGAAATTTTCAGGTTGCTGATAATTCAGTTTCATTTAATAACTTAAAAATCTTTGTAAATTAGGCGCAAAGCTCTAGTTTCAATTTAAGCATTCTAAGCTAATGTGGTAAAAATAGAGATTCACCATAATTATATCTGTTGATAAAATGGTGCCATAGTTTCACGATTGGTTTTGAAGTTACGAAACACTATTTAGCTATCCCTTGGCCACTATGGCATTAGAACAATAGTCACTGTTGGGGCAATGAGCTTTCCTTTATCCTTTTATTTGCTTTCAAACCGAGCGTATAACTCATTTTTTGAATTTTTCGTTACGTTCAATTTTAATTTCCTGTTCACTATTGAGGTTAGGTTTCTATACCTTTCATAGGATCTTTTTTTTTTCTAGTGTCGCTAAAATAATTTTGCGCTTCATTTAGAAGAATTATCATATTAATTAAAACTTTGTAATTAGAGCAATTCTTGTGTCGGAGAGGTGGAATCTTAAATGCATAAAAAATTGGCCTTAAACTTTTGTAGCTGATAAATAAGTTTATGAATTCTACGCTCGAAACTACAAATAAACTGGATGAAAAATAACAAAATGAAGTGACGCAGCAACGAAAATAGTCCTTCCACTGTTGGGTCCCCCCTTTCTGACCACACGCTAACCTTTATTGATAACTACATTTCAATAAAACACTTCATTGGTAATTTTTTTTGTTTTGTATTTTCTGTAGGCATTATGAGGTAGCTACACAGATAATAGGTTCCGATTTGAAAATGCTGTCAAAAGTAGGATACGACACCTTCCCCCACTGCGTACATCAGTTTAGTCGTATTATACACTGAGAAATAAGAGCATTTCGAGAACAAATTAAGGAAAGCCAAATTTCCTTAAATTTGATTTATTTGCTCAAGTAATTTTAAATTAAGTTTTGTTTGACATAATATATAAAAGCCGTGCGTTGTCTTGTAAGGGAAGGTGTTCCTGCAGTATGCGATTTCGGATGAATAAATTCGAAGTAAATAGACTACATTTGTTATTTACTAGTTAATATCTAGTTAAAAACATAATTGATTCCAGTTATTAAATACATTATTAATGAGGTAAAATATTTACATCCATTATTACTTTTTATATCCNCATGAAGAAACCTTACCTACGGTAAACACGTGGTTGCAGAGCAATGTGTTCTGAAAGGGGTTCCGTGGTTGTGTTCTGTTGTTCGAAAAGGTTCTGAACAATACTGGTAATTCGGGAAGTTAGATAACGGGGCAGATGTTGAAAATAATGAAAGATCCAGGAAGAAAAGTGAAACGGATTTTATTCTAAAGAGCGTAATTCGAAGCCTTTTCCAAAATGCGAGAAATTCGCGAATTTTGAAATTGATTTATAGAATGCGCGAATTTCTCGCGGTGATAATTTTTTAATGCGAGAAAAGAGAAAATATGCGAGATTCTCGCGTTCTCGCGCTCTAGTGAAAACACTGCGCGGCGCCTTAAACTTTTGTAGCTGATAAATAAGTTTATGAATTCTACGCTTGAAACTACAAATAAACTGGATGAAAAATAACAAAATGAAGTGACGGAGCAACGAAAATAGTCCTTCCATTGTTGGGTCCCCCCTTTTTGACCACACGCTAACCTTTATTGATAACTACATTTCAATAAAACACTTCATTGGTATTTTTTTGTTTTTTTTTTGTTTTGTATTTTCTGTAGGCATCATGAGGTAGCCTCACGGATAATAGGTTCCCTATATAGGCATTTGAAAATGTTGTCAAAAGTAGGATACGACACCTTCCCCCACTGCGTACATCAGTTTAGTTGTATTATACACTAAGAGATAAGAGCATTTTAAGAATAAATTAAGGAAAGCCAATTTTCCTTAAATTTGATTTATTTGCTCAAGTAATTTTAAGTTTTGTTTGACATAATATATAAAAACCATGCGTTGTCTTGTAAGGGAAGGTGTTCCT